TGAGTTGTAGGTATGCTGAGTATGATACACTGTGGCATGGTGTGGCGAAAGATGTTGGTGAAGAGTTTCGCGAAGGAGATGAAGTGACATGGTGGTCGTTGACTTCGATGACATCTTCGTTTGATGCTCTTCAGTCTCCAATGTATTTGGGAAGAGAAGAAGCGCAGACGGTGTTTTCGATTGAGACGAAGTATGGAAAGTCGATTCGAGAGCACTCGCATGTTCAGAATGACGATGAGATCATTCTGCTTCCTGGCGTAACTGTGAAAGTGGTTGGATCGTCGAAGGGTGAAGACGGAATTCAAATAGTTCAGTTGCGTGAGATTGGCCCAGATGGAGGTAACTTAGTGAACTCTAGTTCACCAATAGAAGAATACCATAATCCAAACCTTGAAAGAATCATTCGATCGTTAGGAAAGCGCGAACATTTAGTTTTAGAATCGATGAATCTAAATGATCAAGATATGGAGATTGTCGTAAAATTAGGTCTAATTGAAAAGAATTGTGGGACAATCGATCTTTGTAACAATATGATAACATCTGTGGGTGCATCTATCTTGGCTCAGGTACTTCCTGGACGTTATTTTTTCTGTTTAAAATTAGACGGAAATCGCATACTGGATGCAGGTGTTCAGTCTCTTGCTAAAGGATTGGGAACTGATAGTGGTGCTGTGAAAATACTTAACTTGAATTCGGTTGGAATGTCCGACGCTGGTTGCGAATACCTGGCCGAAATGCTACAAAGAAATCCCTATAACATGTATCTAACTTTAAACGACAATGACATTAGTGATCGAGGAGTTCGCATATTGCTTGAAACAATAATGTCTCCTGACTGCAATACCTCACTTCTGACTTTGTCTGGCAACAAACGAATAACTGATGCAAGTGTTGACATCATCTGCTCTTCGATGTTCGCACGCCATTATTTCCTTCAGATGCATGTTCGTAACTGTGGCTTTTCCAGTGCGGGCAAAGAGAAACTTCAGCTTGCAGCTCAACAACGTGGTGGTTTTATCATTTATGTGTAATTCAAAACTCAAACGGTATGAGAAAATCACTGGAACCAAATGATATCCGTACTTTTTTTGATTTGGAACAAGAAGGACACCGGTCTATGCTCTATTAACATTATATGCATCATACCTTAACAGATTAACCATACGTCACTTAGCAGTTTATAATGATTTATTCGAAGGATCTTAAATAATTCGAATACACTTTTGTTCTTGTTGTAAAAAGATGCAAAAAATAAAAATAAAAACAAATGTTTTTATTTCCAGGCATCTATCATTTAGATTTTTCCCCAGCAACAGCAGGCTTTACTACCTGTCCAGCATCCTCGTCCTTCCGACCATTTATCCGATAAGCACACACCACCTGCACCACAATCAGCACATCGACCATTACAAAACGGAGCAGTGCCCAATACGACTGATTCCTTGTAGCCAGCTGCTGTACATGCAGATCTGCAATCGCCCAATACTTGGCTTGTCAACAATATACAGACGAGAAAGGCTTTCAAGAATTGTTTCATCTACGTAGAACGGAATATCAACAAAGAGCATAGTAAAAAAACGAATAGATTACCTTTTTTGTTTGGATAAATCGCTTTGATTGGTATGATGAAAGTATCTATGCATACTGGAGATATTTATATGCAAAAGCCACGGAAGTGTTCGATGTCTAGAAACAAATCATCAAGTCACGAATCCCTGAGTATACAAAAAAATCATACAAATTCCTAGCGTAAAAGTCAACTGTCTATTCAGTAATCCGCCTGAGTGCTTTTCGTGATATCGCTATTTTCGTATGCACTTGTATTGTTGAGTAAGTGGGTGGTGACGTCAATATACACATGAGTATCAGAGGTGAGGGTGAAGAGTAAAACTGAAAATTCAATATGTAAACATTTCGTTTTATTTTGATGCCTTGTTAGAGTGTGCATTGTCATACTATTTCAAACGTGATCATAGCTGCAGGTGCAACTATTTTCGTAGTGGACGAACTTCTTGAATTTTAACTTAGGATGAACTTAACCACAGGAATTCATGAGATACTAATACTTCTTGTATAACTGCGATACCGACTATTAGTTTTCGAGCATCCTGGGAACTAGTTCCATCTTCTGAATCACTGTCGTCGAATTCAGAATGGCCTGTATTCCATAGTGTGCTCTTGTTATTAAATATCGCCATATATCTCTTGGTCCAATTCATATTTATACAATGATCAATGCATTCATTTCATTCAAATAATCTAAAATATCTTTTGCAACCCGCTCATTTCAATTGTGCAAATACTGATGATGAGAAACATATGATTAAGAAGCGTGCCTATCCTGTGAACTTACATCGTGCTAGTTTTCAACTAAGAGTGAACACCAAATAAAAATTTTAGTTTTTTTTTCATCTTTTCCCTGTTATATATATTGCAGCAAACGTATTAACCAATGGTACATAACTTTTCATATGGGTGCTCGAACAGGCGGGAAAATTTTGGAAAACTGTTACGCGGGAGATGTTGACAGAGCATATCTCTTTTCCTTCCCAACATATCACGTACGCACTCTGCGTTGAAATTTATCTACAATCTTCTATTCATCATGTAGATGCTTTATTTCAGTTTCTTTACACATACATGCATACATTCGTTTCCTCAAATTAGTTTGTGAACGGCGAAGAAAATACAGTTTAAAATTTTGGAAGATTCTGCAACTCTGGTATTAGCGTTACTATACTGGAGCAAACCATAAAAACAGGCTATTATTCATTGGCGTGAATAAGCGACATTCATTCACCTATACGTAAACTTTTTTCCCTTTTCTAATCATAACATGCGCCATGACTCATTCTTTTTCGTCTTGGTTTTTACCAACTTTTTTTCATCAATATTTGCGCTCTCTGACTACTGCATCTGATAAAAATATTCAAAAACAAATATTTCTTACCAGACGCAATGTCTTTTTCCTTCGAAATTAATCCACGACTTTTGACCGATCTTCCTCCTCCTCTACCATCCCATCAAACTCTCCACTCAATCTATGACTACCAACAGCATCCACTTCTACCTCTTGAACAAGCTTGTCAACCACTCCACGATATTCTCGGCACCGAACTACAACTCTACATGACGATCGCCAATCTCAACTGTCAACAGCCCAAACATGGCCTCACACAAGATGAATCAGCATCCATCTATTTGTACACAATGGAATGGAATGAACCACACCACAGTCTCCACGTTCTTCTCAATCAAGCTCTTTCTTCTCTCGATCCCAATCAACTTCAACCTTGGCTCAACTATCTCAAACTATTCTACACAGCACTCTTCAAACTACCGTAAGTGAATGATTAGTTCTGAGAAAGTCAGGTTGGAGTGAATGAGTTGTAGGTATGCTGAGTATGATACACTGTGGCATGGTGTGGCGAAAGATGTTGGTGAAGAGTTTCGCGAAGGAGATGAAGTGACATGGTGGTCGTTGACTTCGATGACATCTTCGTTCGATGCTCTTCAGTCTCCAATGTATTTGGGAAGAGAAGAAGTGCAGACGGTGTTTTCGATCGAGACGAAGTATGGAAAGTCGATTCGAGAGCACTCGCATGTTCAGAATGACGATGAGATAGTTCTGCTTCCTGGCGTAACTGTGAAAGTGGTTGGATCGTCGAAAGGTGAAGACGGAATTCAAATAGTTCAGTTGTGTGAGGTAGGTTTGCCTGATGATTTTATAGTGGACGACACCATTCCAGTAGCAGATGGATATCGTAATCCGGAGCTTGGAAAAATAATTCAAGCGTCCCCAACTCGTGGTAAATTGACTTTAGACTCGATGAATTTAAATGATCAAGATATGGAGATTGTCGTGAAGTTAGGTTTAATTGAAAAGAGATGTATGATTCTATCGCTTCGTGACAATCTAATAACTTCTGTCGGTGCATCTATCTTATCGGAAGCATTTCTTGGAAATACCGCTTTTAAATCGTTGATTCTCGATGGAAACCGCATACTGGATGTAGGTGTTCAGTCACTTGCCAAAGGATTATCAGATGAGAACATCTATTTTCGTACTCTTTATCTGAATTCTGTTGGAATGTCGGATGCCGGTTGTGAATACCTCGCTGAAGCGATCAGAATCAATCATTGCATAATCTACTTATTTTTAAACAACAATGAGATTACCGATCGGGGAGTTCGAGTATTACTCGAAAGCATTAGATCGGGTCAGTGTGGTTTAACAATGCTAACCTTATCCGGCAACAACCTAATAACTGACGACAGTGTAGACGTGATATGCTCTGCTATATCCACCAATATCACCTTTCATCAATTGCATTTATGTCATTGCAGTTTGACGCCCGCAGGTCAGGACCGGATCCGGCAAGCAGCCCAACGAAGCAGTTTCGTTCTTTACCTATGAGTTTTGATGAATTGTGATCATCATTATCTATTTTTATCTCTACTGTGTAAAACGAATGGATTTGCGTGCACTATAGTTGTAAACATTTGATTTAATCATGTGAAGAAAGAGAACGACATTGGAACAAATTTTCAAAATGTCTACTACTCAATATTTTTTATTTTAAATAATTCAAAATCAACTCCTGTACAATTTTGATTTATGTTTCTTTTATGCTAAATACTTAGATCATACGTTCATATAGAAGATTCGGGAATATTGAATTAGTCTGTATGCCTTGAATGTACCAAAATAAAAGTATACAGATGTTGATTTCGTGGTACTGTTTAACCTTTGAGCATAGATTTATTAAGATTTTTACATGGCGCAATGATCAAGAATAAATGTGGATGTTAAGTAAAGCAACCACACCGTTGTTTTTCTTTTCATTCTTTCCCACACATATAAAAGACTTTCAGAACGGTAATATTTGTCTTGTGCTCTTAGGAAAGGTGCTTTTTCCCAGAGGTATTTCGGACATGAAATCGACGAGTTTCGCGAAACACCAATGTCGATAAATTGATCCATCATCTGAATCTACTTCGTGATGTTTCGCTGCGTACGTTGAGAAGGCACCGGTGAAAATCATTATCGCAGTCGTTTTTGCTTCGAATCTCAATTTTCATCACATTTATCGTGGATATTGCAGCATGGTATCATTTTACCCATACGAACGAATTTTAAAAGCCAATCATAAAGTTAGAGTCATCTCTTCTAGACCACATGTATTCGCTTAACGTTGCTGATAAAGACTATCTGAACTACCAATCAGAAAAAAGTGGTGCGATTAAACTTGTGTAAACCGTATGTACATTTGCTTTGTTAGCAGACAAATGCAACTTAAAAGTGCGTTGTATATGTATGCCAACATTTTTTGCATAAGTTGGACTCGACACAGGTTCTTGTGAGGAATTAACCGAAACAAATCTCAGTGAGTGACGTTATGACAGTGAGGAAAAACGATGTTGTTGTTCACTTGTTAAAAACAGATGTGAAACGCAAGATCACATGTTATATTGTAACGGTTACTTGATAATACAACAAAATATTCACCTTCTTATCGGTAACAATTGTTATTTCAGAGAAATATTCTATTAGTATTATATGTGTGCATTTGGGTTTTGTTATAACTTAATTAGAATCCGTTTTAGGTAGATTCCCATTCTTGTATAGCAAATTCTTCGAGAGTAAAAGTGAACTTTGAAATAGTCAATGCGAGCATGACAAAGTATGTCTACAAATAATACATTAGTGATAAGAATGATTAGAAGTAGTGAAGTCTTTATCTTCAACTATAAGGTAACGAGGAATATACGTTGAGAAACATCACGAGTTGTTGGGTTATAATAATATTTTTAGAAGCTCGGACGAACGAAGCAAAGAAATGCAAACGCCGAGGGATTTCTTATGTCCAATATCGCTTGCCGTTATGGAAATGCCTGTTATATTAATCGAAGATGGTCGTAGTTACGAAAAGCGTCAAATAGAACGTTGGTTAAGTACTAATAATACATCTCCCATGACAGGTAAAGTTCTGATCAACAAAAGTTTTATTCTAAATATTAATCTCAAGAACGCTATCGAAGAGTTTCGCGAAAAACAAGAAAAAGCACAGCATTGTGAATTACTCTCACGTGAATTAGTTATTAAGCCTGGAGGATTGCCAGAAGAGTTCCAAGACAAGAAACATCCCCGATTGCGGATTAAAATATGTACGTTGGGTGATAGAAGCGTAGGTAAAACAACGATTGTCCGATATTTACAATTTCCAACTCGGTTTCGGAAAGATTAATATAGCACTACTCTAGGCCCTGATATGATAGCGTTGCATCTGGATGGTTTATTCCAAGAACGGTATGCCGTTTCCATCACAGTTGTCGATCTACCAGGTAACATGAGATACAATAACGTTTGGACAGATCAATATAGATGTCATGGTGCAATATTTGTTTGTGATGTAAGCCAACCGGAAACGTTGAAAGATGTAATAGATGGATGGTATCCTAAGTTCAAACAACATCGCTCTACTGGGTGCCAATCGGTACTTCTGTGTCATAAAATTGATCTATCTGAAGATCCGGAAGATCAAATATTCAAAGACGCCGAACAATTTGCGATGGAAAACGATATATCTCTATTTCATACATCGGCGGTTACTGAAAAAAATATACAAGCAATGTTTAATCAATTAGTGTTATGTATACTGGCTAGTCGTTCTTTGTTAGACCAATTAAAGAACAATGGTAGCAATACAATTACTGACGGTCAGAATCGAAGAGAATCAGTTCAACTGAGACCCCCTGTTAGAAAACCAAAGAAGGAAACTGGGTGTTGTTAGGTTCTTCAATTTCCTACTTTGTCGTAATTTTTGTGGAAAATATTTTGAATAAAGATACTCTGAAAATGAGTGGAGAGCGTATACGTTTGTTCTTTCTCAATAAATATCAACTCGACATAATTATACTATTGGCATTTCAACTTGAAGAATGCAATTTCACTTCAAGGTATAGTCATTTATAGTGCAGTGTACTATTCTTACAACGTCAATCATGAATTTTCTCCTTTTTATACGATACTCTTATCACTGGCGTTGATCTTTACTCGAGCTGGTGACGCAGTTGTTGAAAGTTGTGAACCAAACGTCTAATGTTCTTGAGGAGATAATTGTGTGAGATTTAATAATGAAATTATGACAAATCTAGACAAAGGCTCGCGTTGCGTAGGAAAAATTTTGGCAGTGAACAAAAATAATCGAATTGCTGCTACTCATCGGATCAGACTGTCTGCTTTTTCTGAAATGGATACATCATCAAACGGAAAAAGAAAAACGAGAGTGAATTTTATAGACAAATACCTGGTTCTCAGAAAAAATAGATTTATTCGAAAGAAAACTTCACCCGAAAGCACCTGGTGTACATTTTACACCAGAAGGATGATCATAGTGAGCACAAAGAACAACTGATTTTCGGTTCGGAGCGATAATATCCCATCCTGTAAACGTTAAATCACAAGTTCCGTTCGGTGGACAATCGATATTGGCAACGTGAGGTTCGTATTTTCTTGATGTTTTCCCCGTAAAGTTCATCAGATGAATTCGGGAGAGTCGAGCTGTCGACGGATGTTTCTCACATGTTTTACTCTCCGATTCATAACAGTTCATGATCTGAAAAGCGTAATCGCAATTGTCCACGATCACACCATCATATATCACATTGGACACGAATACCGATCCATGAGATGAACCTCCAGGCCACAATTTGATACCAGCTGCTTTGGAGCAATTAATCATCTTGATTTTAGATACGTACACATTTTGCACTACATACGTCTCTCCAGCACCTAGACCGAGACTTCCGACAGATACACCATGCGATCCAATACAAGTGATATTGTTGACCGTGATGTAGTTTGCACCATTTTCAAACGCCACGCAATCGTCGCCGTTTGTCACGTGAATATTATTTAACATAACATAAGAACATTCACCGATGTCAAAGCCGTCAGTGTTCTTAGGATCATTGGTAGAAGTCGACACAGCACTTAAAATCAAATCGGAGAAGGAAATATTATACGATTTATCCTTGACGGTGACGAACATCGTCGGGGCATCTTTCAGTTTGACGTTACTGAACGTAATATTTGAAGCATTGCTGAAGAACATCAGTAGAGGCCTTTTATAGGTTTTATGTTTGGCAAAATAGTCCCAGTATGCTTGTCCGCTTCCATCAATAACTCCTGTTCCAGTTAACGATTCAACGGTTGCACCAATGATATTTTGTAATAGGATAAATGCTGTTTTCCCATTCCAGTAATTGAGATCATCCGATACTTTAAGCGTTCCTTCGATTTGAAAGTTGCATTGTCGACAATTCATGAAGTCAAGCGGACTTCGAATCATGAATATTGTGTTAGAAGAGATGATAATCGTTCCTCCGTTGCCACATGTTAACAAAGCGGTGTTAATAGCAGGTACGTCATCTATAGAACTATTCCCAGCCGATGCGGGTGTACAAGTATTTTCATTCGTTAAGGAACAGATTTGATCAAATTTCCAAGCAAAAACAAACAAAACCAATGTAAACAGGTCTTCAATTTGCATGAATGTTTTTTTATCTTTGTGCAGCATGCACTGAGAAGTGAGAAAAAAGATAAAGTTAGATAGAGCATGTGCGCGCGATATAAAGGTATATTTATACAAAAAATATCACTTAATGTCATTATGAAAAATGCTTCAAATAGAGCACAAGGGAAACGCTGATGTATTTTTATTACTTTTTACTTTCACACCGATAAAAGTAAAACTAGAAAAATCAATGAATCGGCATAATCATTATGCGTCGATTCGGGCATTCTTTTTCTTTGTTATATTTGTGAATATTTTGGTGAATGTCCTTACAGTAAAATCAACAAGAATAAAGAGAACATCAAACAGAAAAGAAAGATCTGAATAAAAACAAGGTTTCAGTTAGAATATATACAAATTACGGCCCAACAGAAACTATAGCCACGGACACATTACCACCCAAAGGATTGGCTAAATAAAAACTGATCGTATAATTCCTGCCTATGACTGTAGTTACATTTTGGTATATTCCATCCCCTGCGCTATACTGAATGTCGAGATAAAACCAGCTTCCCGCTTTTGGTGAACATGAAAGATAACTCTTCCTCATACCACTTCCGTCATATTTACTACAGTAATATGTCCAATAATCCCAACCACCTGTCTCAAATCCTCCATTTCTTATTAATTCCGTAGAATTCTGGAAATCCTTCATGGAGACGCTATCTAACGCCCAGAAGTATTGCTGATTCTGAAAGCAAAACATCAGTGTTGTTATTGCACTTGTCGCTTGATATGTGTATAAATATTGAATATATGATTGATTCGCGGCATTGTAAAGTTGTAGAAGAACAGTGGATTTTACGTACCCAGCACACACCGACCCGACAGTAGTTGCTGCTAAATATTGAAGAGAAACGATACGGATACGTGCAACACAGGTTCGAACGCCTACCTTGTGTAGTAGTCGGTAAAGAAGTGGTAGTGTCGACCGATGTTGGTGGAAATTCTGTAAAACAAGCTAAAGAGCTGTTTGATGTCGCAACGACTTGAACTCCGCCAGAGACAGTCGAATAATTTCTGAATAATAGACAGTTCGTGATATTCATCGTATTTAGATAACAATTCAAAGCTGATGAATTGGTTTTCAACATATAGCATATACAATTATTGCAATCGATTGAATTGTTCAACCATATACCCGACGAAATACCCGAAAATGATACATTCTGGAGGCATCCAATTTGCACAGCAAAAGTGCATTTGAGTAGAAAGTATCCGATATAGTACAGGTATCTCATGATTATGCTTCACATACGAGTCGTCAATCACGCATCGAATGTTCGTTGAAGAAAGAGAAGAAGTAACAGTACTTTTTTGTTTACCGAAGAATGTAAAGCGGAGAATATTGATTCAATCTAACTGTAATTGAAATCAAATCTTCCGCATCCTCAAAGTCAACAGACACGTTGAGACCGAAAATACTAATTAATTTTATTCTACAATAAATACTTGAAAAAACGTACATAACTGAAATTAGAAAATACTCCTTAATACTAAACATTGCACACGAGAGACTTCTGTTTGTTAATGAATAAATACGCTGTAATTAAGTAATTTGTATTGGAAGTCATGGAATGATGCATTTTCGGAACAATATTTTATGTTCTTATCCTTAGCTGTAAATGTTAGTACCATTTGTCCGTTAACGTTGTTTTATATTGCAGTAAGACAGCCATTCGAGAGGCATATCATTAAAAGCTGCATACCAATATCCGAAATAATTTGATTTATTTAACAGTGCATCTGAAGGCACAACATGAAGAGTACGAGGATATTCTCCATTGCAAATCGATTTCCATGCCAATCCATTACTTATATAATGAAATGTGTGTCCATTTACAAAACATGGTAAAGCAACAAAATTATGTGGAAAATAAGTAGCAAATAGACTCAATGCAACTTGATCTGCAGTCCATAATGATCTCAGACCTAGATGGATATATGCAAAATCGATAGCTTCGTCTAATAATTCTGTAAAACCAATTTGTCGGCAAATATTTAAATCTAATAAGACAATACCAGTGAGAAATGGATCCGGATTTGATCCATTGTATTTGTAATCAGTTGGTAGAGATGGATTCCATTTGACTAAACCTAATACAGTTTGATTTCTTTTAAATAAACGAAATTGTTCCCAAATGGAATATACATCATCAACAAAAATAACATCGGAATCAATCACAATGACTCGTGGTACATCAGCTGGTAATAAATCATGAATTAAAGCTTTGGAAAAAGCATAAAGACCAGAATAGTGTGAAACAGTCATTTGATGTTTTTTTAGAAATTGATCACCGATTTTCATTAAATCTTTTATGGGATATATTCGAAATTTCGTACACATGTTTCTTACAGAAGAAAAATAAGTGTTGAATAATTTTTTTCCAACTACATCAGTAAATATATGAAATGTTAAAGTATAAGATTTGCGATGATTAAACATGATTGATTTGATAGAAGTAAGCGCTAATTCATTGAATTTTTTATTTGCACATACTATAGCTAAATGAATTTCATTTTGTACATAATGAACAGTTAAAGTTTGAAAATTTTTTCCAACAAAAGGAGTCAATTGTGTAATTTGATTTTGAAAATGAGATAATTGGCTGGAAATCAAGAATATCGTGCAACAAGTTACGATGAAAATAACGATTGGAAGTTTGTGTGAAAGTATTGTTACTGCGCTGCACATCTATGTATAAATAATCCGTACAGATTTAAAAATAAACCAAGGAATAAAATCCAATGGTATTCTCTATTTCAAAATCATGAAAACTCTTCATATACTTACATGCAATTTGACTTAGTAGATACTTAATAAAGATTTTCTCTACGTATATCATTATGAAGATAAACTTTGAACATACTTCTATCATTGATAAAAAAGAATCAACTCCTTTGCTCGAGCTGTAACAGAAATATTCCAGTTCGTTTTTGAAAAATCACTCTCCAGACAATATCATCGATGATTTACGGGTAGTAATTTAGTAATAAAGAGAAGTAATTCTACACAAGTGAAAAACATTATTTATTCATGTATTGAATGTCGACGTTTCGACTCAAGTAGAGTCACTGTCAAGACAGAGAAAAAATGCGTGGAAGAAAGTGTTTAAATTTTTGAACGTAATTGGAGATTTCAGTACTTTCTTCTACACATTTTTTCTCTGTCTTGACAATGACTCTACTTGAGTCGAAACGTCGACATTCAATATATAAATAAATAATGTTTTTCACTTTTGTAGAATTACTTTTCTTTTTTATTCTCTAGACACTCTATACTTTTTCTTTTTTTCTCTTTCTTTGTCTCTAATGAGCATAATGAGAAAGCGCAGTTGTGCTAACTGCTATAACACATGAGCTATACGATCTAGTCAATTCCGTTTTATAGTATTCAATTATACTAAAAAATTAAAATAGGTCTCTTCAAAATTCTTCTCTTCCTTCATTTCCTTCTTGTGATATGAGCGAGCTCCAACTTCTGTTCTTTTTCTTTCTCTCATACTGCAAACATCTCATGATCATTAGTTTTGGCACGCATACTAAAAAATATCTATTGTACAGTGTAGTGAAAAGTCAAATACTGTCATTTTATATGAGCTATTTATTCTAAGTTAACAATATAAGATCACATCACAAATACGGTATAAAAAAATCAAATTAAAAAAAGGAATGTGATCGATCGAACATTTCAAATAGAATTAACTAAGCCAGATAGACCCCGTTCAGATTGCAAAAAGAAAAGAAAATGAATTCTGTTCTAAATCAGTACATGTTCTCACTAAATTCTTGAATAATCGTTCAAAGCATCGAAAACTCAAAAAGTATAGTGAATTACCTACAGTTTTCAACTATGAAAAAAACCACTAAGTCAATTTGTTAAATCAATAGTTCCTTAGAAAGTTACGGTTTCTATAGTATTCAGCAAAAAGATTGTTTTCTTTTCCTTTTGTTGATTCTTATACGGGCGACACCATTTTACTCATCAATCTATTCATTCATTCGTTCTTTCTATCATAGTCTCTAATAAAAGAGTATAGGCCTGTGTGAACAAAGTGTACGATTTCCTAATAAAATTCAATATGCACACTATTTTACGCGCTGTTGAGAAAAATAGCGTGTAAAGCGTACATTCTGTGTTTTCGTTACACATATTATTTTTCTGGTATGATTCTTGTACTCTTACATGCATAACAAACTTATCTGTCTATGATATATGAACACGAAGATGTTTGTGACCTAATAAAATATTAGATAGAAGCAATAAAACATGTTTTATGTCTATGTGTATACAGCCTATGTATAGAGTCTATTTGCGTATCATCTAGCTGCTTCTATATTCCAAAAAACGATTTGAGAGCTCTCGAGATGGTATTTTGATTACGTTACTCCTTTCATATCTTATCGAACAATATACAAAAAGGTTGTGTTAGTGAACGATGGGCACTCAACTATTTGTGTCTAAAATACGGAGCAAACCAAAATTGAACATAAATCATTATGGATAACGGAATATATCAATATTGTCTTTTTTCGACTTTCATTCCCGCCTTCACTTAAACTCTTATGTGGTTAACTGTTCTCGTGCTTATCGCTCGGGTTCCCTTTGTATTTATATATGATATATTTCATCAATCATATAGATCGATGAAAATATCTGTTGCGACTGTGTTTGGCAAAAGATTCAGGTTATGAATATTTCGATGGAAAAACTTGATTTTTTTCTGTATGTTATACTTTCATGTATTCAATAATCTGAAAGTAAAATAAAAATTCTTCTTTATGAAGCTATTTTTGCATCGATGGTTACCTGTTGCACTTATACACTGTGTACATTTGATTCTTGAAAATAAATTACACATGTATACAGGGTGCTAAAAAAACAGAGAGTAGCTGTACATTGTATTTCAAATTTCTATTAGAGCCACTGCTATCGAATAATAAAAGATTCTTTAGTATTACGAAGTCTTCTATACGAATGAGTATCGTAATCGTGAACAAAATTGACAATCATGCAGACTACTAATTCCGATGTCTATACATTTTATTTTACAATCGTAATGTTCAAAAGAGTAACAATAAGGGAAATTACCTATTGATCATTTAGTTGTATGGGCCATTTTCGAATGGATAATATAACTGGACAGAAGACAACAAAGAGGAAATATGAATTTTCATTCAATATATCATGATTTTTCTACCATTCGAAATGACGAAGAAGGCAATTTGTATTACTGGTTTAACCTTCTGGATACCGGCCACTTTTGCATTCAGTCTAATCACTTGGAATAAGCTGTACACATGTATGAGTTATATGAATAAATGTCTGCTGATTTATTTCTCGCTATAAGATATATGCTCCACGATGCGATAGAACGAAAAAAAAATTCGTTCGTTCTTCTTGTATTTGATCTTAAGACAGTATAGTATTCAAAATATTGATCTTTTTTTTTCTTCTATCGATAATATCATTCCATGATTCCTACGAAACATTTATTCATATTCTAACAAATAATCTATGAAATATTATGTTAAATTTCCAAGGTGAAAAAATTAAATGCAAATCTTATATTTTGTCCATATTGCATTGTTCTATGTTTAATAACATAGACTTGCATCAACAGATCAAAACACAACATATCTGTATTGACATATGCATTCTATCATGGAACTGTGAAGATCTTAGCCAAATATCTTGAATAATTTGCTCCCATCGAACCTCTCAATAAGAAAGAAATGGCATTAAGACTTACTTCTTCTTTACTCAGCTCTTTTATAATATGACGCATACCAAATAAGTATGAAATTTAATGTATAAAGTACTAGTTCATGAGAAATTTGTAGAAGAAAACTATTTTTAATAAGAATTCAATAGTCGATGGTACCAACTTTTACTTGTTTGATTAAGCCTGTTTCGATAATACAGCTTGTGGTGCTGTGGTGATAAAACTATGAAAGTCACCGCTTGCCAAATACGTTGAGTATGCAATCAATACTTTCATCACGAAATGTAACTGTTGATCCAACATTGATACAAGTTAAAGCTAAATTACTAGGATCGTGGGCTCATGTCGAAGATAGTATACGCAAAAGCATCAACTTTGCCTCGTTGGTTGCCTAGTAATATCACCCAACCAACTAAATTTGCTTTTCAATCCGATAAATTTATACTTTCGTATTGATGAGCGGAAAAGTGTTTGATCGCGATTACCAAACATTGAACAAAAGAGTAACTGATCTTGTAATAAAGTTCCTCCATGATCACATGTCATTAAAGCAATAGTAGCTGCAAGACCTCCTCATGCAGAAGCATTGATACCTATGCAGCATAACAATCTTTGTCAGGAACTGGATGAAGATGTTCTAGTGCAAGATGATAATCAATGTGTACAAGAACAACATTTAATTCTACAATCTAAACGAGTGGAAAGTGTAGAGTACCACGTTGACCTCCAGCAATCATCCCATCAACATGTAGAAAATAGATATAAGGTGATAATGAATTGGATAAAAGCATTGTTGATGCACTTGGACGATATATTAAAAAAGAATTATCTGGTGCATTCTGAGGACTAGATACTTTACGTTTTTCAATGTCAATTGTTTCATTTCGACGTAGCTGTTCATCAGTCAGTCGAATTCCAAACATAATTTGTCTGAGTTTTGGTACGAAGTCGTCTGTATGCCTCGCAGCTATCATTGATGTACGCATTGTATCAAGAACTTGTGCAAGTTCTGGATCAAAGGATATTTTGTCATAGTGCTTCTACGGATAAATCTATATAGTATTAAAATTTATTGTCTTTTTTTTGTAGGAAATCATATGATGAAAAGAATGATAGTAGAAAACAAATCAAATGATTATATGTATATTACACGCGTGTCTATTTCTTTTTCTTAACAGTGCATTTGAAGGACTTATAATTTAAAATAGAAAAAAAGTTTCGATAGATAAAAAAGGTGTAATAAGTCATCATTTCGTTACATATTCTTTATTCAACTATTGCGAGAATTTTGCCCACAGCGACCGTTCCGTTTTCTTCTCGCAATGTAAATCGACCAAGTGGAGCAAAGTTTTTGAACAATTCCATACAAATTCCTTTTCCTGATTGAGATAACTGAAATCGAGCGATCGCAGCATGATCTTGTTTAATATAACGTGGATTCGGTTGTGTTCGTTCACCTGTTTTTCGGTCTACTAAAACGATTAGTTTTTGCAATTGAACTTCGAAAGACGCCCCGTAAATGTGAAGAACTGCCGAATAGCCAGGAGATATGAATGATTTGTGTTCGACGACAACAATCTACATCATAGATAGACGTTACTTTCAGATCACGAGAATGTTTCATCAAGATGCATTTATCTCAGCATCAAATACTTTTCCAACATGGCATGGTTCGCTTTCTGTGCTACATAGAACAGATCCAGATGAAATCTTCTACAAAAAAGAGAATTCTAGCGATTCAATTCGAAACGAATGGATGGAATACAAACGTCTTCATCGATATTCGCCAATTTCAATCGAACATTTTCTCCACAAATACAAAAATCAGTTTCCATATCTTCATAATAGATATTTGTTACTTTCACACGATTTCGATTGGGCATGATTACACATTGATCACCGACTCGACAGCATCCCGACTCAATTTTACCCATCACTATCATTCCCATGTCCTTTTCAAAATTAAATATTACAGCTTGTCAACTCAATACAAGACCTACTTTGTACTTTTCAACTATAGGCATACGAAATGGACCATCGATATTACGATTGAACGGTGGCAAACTATCCAAATATTCAGCAAATGTCGATCCACTACAAACACGTGCAAAAAAGATTTCTAAATGAAAGCTACCGTTTGAAAACACTCACGTGTACCAAGGAGCACATTGCTCCTCGGGAGCCTTTTTGAGAAAAGCTCCTTTCATACCGCTACATGGGATGAAGGTAATATCTTCGTCCGATTTAAAACCGCACTTTTTCAAATAAGGTATTAATTTATTTTTGATTTCATCGTATCTATCTCGATCCCAATTAACAGTCGAATCATCCATTTTGTTGATTAGAACAATCATATGACGTACGCCAGCTGCTTTTACTAACATTGTGTGCTCACGGGTTTGACCACCACGTTCAAAACCCGTTTCAAATTCACCTCTGCGTGCTGATACGACCTATGAGATAGTCCAAATAGTAGCGTAGATAGAATCCATGTGACATAACCAAACTTACCAGTACGGCAACGTCTGCTTGAGCTGCTCCAACAATCATATTCGGCACAAAGTGTCGATGACCAGGTGCGTCAAGAATAACGATATGTTTTCTCTCGGTTTCAAACCAAGCGCGACCAACTTCGACAGTTATGCCGTGTGCTCGTTCTTCTTTGGTAGTATCCATTGCAAACGCGTGCATCCATGACTCACGCGAGTTCTCACGAGCTTCCACTTGATGTTTTTCTAAAGTTCGTTGATCAATTTGACCGGTCAAGAATCTAAAGCAAAATTCAATTATAAAACAGACTTGAAACGGAAAGGAAACGTAATTACAGTAAATGACCAGCGATGGTTGACTTTCCGGCATCCACATGGCCACAGAAGAGAATGTTCAACGGTTCCTTCTGTCTTTCAGTGTCTCCTTTAACAGCAGCAATAGCTTTCTTGCCTTTCGAAACGGCTGAAGTGTTAGATTTTGTTGTTTCGTTGAGCGTTTCTGCAGTAGTCGTTGGAGCGGTTGTCGATCGTGCATATTTTTGTTCCATTTCAGTATTGATTTGTTCAGCAGACGGAAGTTTCGGGATAATAGCTGGTACTAATTCTTTTGCATATACATTTAAATCACTGAAGTTGACTGCTGGAATCGAATTGCCTTCGTCGTTTGCATTCCAATGAATTGGCGGTTGAGCCATTGCTTTGACAGTTTTTGCTTTCGTTACTTTTTAGATGCATTCGTGAATACGCTTTTATAAATACACGCACGTTTTGAAAGACATGTAATTGCATATTGCGAAAGAATGAAAGAAATGTAATACTTTTCCGTTTCTTTCATGTTATGACGTTTACCTGTTCTTTCTCTCCTTACGATTCGTATGTGTTAAATCCGAGAAACTATAGAAAGTACTTCATCCACATTGAGTTTCATGAGAACAATCACAATAGATACGTGTGTGGGTGTTTATTAAAAGCATGAATACTTAGGATAGCTGGGTTATAACTACATCAAACATAGGCCTCAATATGTATTATATGTTTTTCCTTCTGTTCATCAAGTTCGAATTTCTTCACGCAGAACTGTACGCCCGCTCGAAGTAGTACCTCTTCTTCTTCAGGAAATTGCGATAAAACTCTGATATCCACTGCTCGTCCATCATTTGGATACTGTTTTTTCAACTGAATAATCATTAACGTGTTCGCATCGTAAAATTCCGCCACTTTTCTGCTTCTACTCGTCGATATAAAACCAAACCATCGGTACGTATTCGGACCAATTGCTTGCCGATAAGCTTGCAGTTCTGTGGATGACAGGTTAGTACCGCGATAGACGGTTAATGCGTCTGCGGTGAGAGAATACTCTTTGAAATGCAGAAAGAGTAGTTTTAAATATGGTCCAAGATTGTCGAGTTTACTTAAATCATTATTACATAGAAACTCGTTGAGACTTATATACAGAAATGAACTGCGCGTATATTGATGAATACATTGTAAACCTACGAAAGAACGATCATCTTGGGCAGCACGTTCTAATTCTTCAGCGATATAATTAGCTTCGATCGGCTTTCCAATTAACCTGCCTTCGTTACGAATACCATTTGCAACGGCAGAAATGTTGACGTCTAATGATAAACACTTGTCAAGGATGGGCGTTCGATCGCTTGATGTATCATTGTAGAAGGTAACATGTTCTGCTAATTGATGTTTGGCGTTCCATTTCTCACGAATCTTTGCGTTGTACTGAGGGTCAGTAACACGGATAACTTCGGTTTTAGTTCCATCTTCTTTGTTTACTCGACAACCTTCGTCGAAATTAACAATGCAGCTGTCTAGTTCGACGCTTTTCTGCTTATTTAAATATGCATGATCAAGGATCAATATCTCGATATTCCAAAACCAAAGCCAGTGAACTTTTTCAGGCGATATAAATTTCCACAGCCAAATTGATGAACCCTCAGCGCTGAGCTGTGATTGCTCAGTTCGTTTCACATTTATTTCAGCCTTGGAAAAATATAAAGATGTATTCTTATAAAATCTATTTACATCTTTCATACGTTCTCAAGCGTAGACGATGATTGCGATGAAGTCGTTGGAACATCGGGAGTGGCAAACGTTTTAGTCCACTCGATCGCTTTTTGCTGAAATTTGTCACGATCGTCTTTGAAAAGGAAAGCCGCTTCCGGGTAGATAAAGTCATCAAAATTCGGATTAGCAAGTAATTTCTGAATACTTTTTAGTAAAAACCGTATACTCCGTGTAGGACTCCAAGTATCACGAATAAGTACCTCGAGACAGATGTATCCATTGGGATGGATGTTTGGATGGAGAATTTTGGTAATGAAGGATATCTCCGGAGCCTTGAATGGATATTCAAAAGGAAATCGTACTGTCACTTGAAAACGACCATTTTCATATGGTGTGCCAGCAGGACCTTCCACAATAAGTTCCCATGGATTGAGTTCATCAGGATCATAGTGTTTTAACGACCAGCCTGGTTCCATGCTTGTTTGTAATGAGACCAATTGAATATGAATGGCTTTTAATTTGTTCTTGTACTGTGGAGCAGATATTTCACCTAAAATTAATAGATAATTTGCTTGACGGCAGAAATGCGCTGATTTGACTGTATACGCGTTTCTATAGTTTTAACTTACACTCTTTTATAGCTAAGTCTTAGTATTTAAAATATATACATACTTAGTTTTCGTTCAACTTGGCGGATTGTCTTTCCCATAGATTCACAATAGGCATGAGTTGATGCTAGGGATTTTTGCCATATATCATTAGCTTTTAAAAAGTACTCTAGTGCTTTTTTATAGTCATGCTGCTGGTAATACATAGCTCCCATATTCGCGTATGTTTGCCCGAACTTCGGATGATTCTCTCTGAGTTGTTCGCGATCGATGTCAAGTGCCTTTGTGAAATAACTCATTGCTTGTTCAAAGTCATGTGTTCTTGTATATAGATTGGCCAAATCTTTATAAATATTGGAGATAAGATCAAAATCTAGAGTAATAATCGTTCTAAGATCAAGTGCCTGTTTGTACCAATTGATCGCTTCAGCGTTATTCAATGTCAAACAATGGATCTTCCCAATTGACATGTAACATTTCGCCGTATCTGTCACGATCTTATCCGATGTTTCCAATTTTAATAATGTCTCCAATTCTTTCTCGTGATTTTTCAATGCTTCTGCATAATTCTTTAGTTTGGCATTCGTTGCACCGAGTGAATGATAGCATCGAGCTAATTCAACAGGAGTTGCCGATGACTGATTTAAAATTGTTTCGAAATATTGTTTGGCTTGTGCATATTCGCATCGCCAAAATAAAAGATCACCTTGACTAAACATGTCTGTATGATTTTGTGCAGATGCTATCGCTGCTTTGGAAACGTCGTTCATGTTTGAATCTGTCGTTTTTTGCGCATGTAATGATGTTACTACCAAATAGAAAAATTTCTTTTCTCTCAAGCGCAAAACAACACCAATGTATGATGTCCTTCGAACAGTTGATAGTGATTCGATGAAAAAAGAAGTCGAGAAAAATATACGCGAGGAGAGTATTTATCGGAATTACTAAATATTTGCAGAACAGGAAAAACAGTCCACCACGTACTCGTGCTTTACAAAAGGAGAAGAGGATTTTTTTCTGGCTGTTTCTTTCTTGTGCATCAACATTTTATTTCTTGTACTGCGCCAAGAACATTACTATATACGTCGAAAGAAAACGAAATAAATAGTGAATATAAGTAGGTAATATATCAATGTGGTCGTTAGTGACAGGTCGGTCCCGTTATCAGTAGTGCATCTAACTGCAATCTACAACTTGTTCGTGCATTGTAAAAGAAGTGAAACAAAATACTGCAGATGCAAAAAAAGTAAATCATAGCATTACTTTGTGTCTCGTACAGTATTCTCTATGCTTGCTTTGTTGACAATCTTAGGTATTGGAGGTATTAGTCAGTTGTCACAAAATTTCAGGGTAATCTCATAAACGCGTCTTCATATCGCATCGCTTAGATAGCTCATTTAACTCGCGGTCCGATGATAGTACCCGGTCAAGCGCAGGTAAGTAAGAATTCAATGTCTGAAACAGCTAATACAATGTGAAATGCTCATTTCGTTTTCTTTCACTGTTTCAGCCACCGTCGCTGCTACCCATACTACCTCCCCCTCATCCGCCGGAGCTCTTACCACAGGATGCTGATCCGCAAGACCCACCGACGTAAGTTCCTCTAGTTTAGTCACAATCACACAAGTTTTCAGTCCACATACGTTTTCAGATGTTCAATCTGTTTGAATGATGTCCAACCCAATGAACCAATTCTTACTTGTAGGGTGTGTCATAAAGTATTTCATTATGGTGAGCTCCTCACATGGCTAACTAACCGCCGGAACCTTAGAGAACGTCAAAGCTGTCCCAATTGTCGCACGGATATGGGTAAGATGGCTGATAGAAATTTTGATTGTCTACCATAGCGAATTTTCGTTAACAGGATGGGTACTTGATCCCCCACCTTTACCACAGCCTCCACCTCCGCCTCCAGAAAACTTCGATGGTGACGCTCCTCTCGGTGTACAACCAGCTGAATTAGATGACATTAACAATTGGGATATCAATGGGTTGATATTGGATGGCTGAAGAGAACTAGATGGTTCTTTACTCGTAACTCGTTTCTCTTGTGGGGACAGGATAAAATCGCTTTAGCTTACATCGTAATTATACATGAACTGTGTTACACTTAGTTGCGTCGAAAGAAGTTTTTACTAAATCTCAAATATACTCATAATTGGTTTCAAGGTGATGAAAGGCGTTCGCATTTTTTTCCTAGTCTAATCATAGATAGATTTTCAGCCTAAATGCTGTGAAAAGCACATATGTCAGAATTTTATACATAATCAGACTACACCCACATTTTGGTAGTTTACGACCAAGGACGTTCGGTCCCTTCGAAGTATGCTAAATTTTGCCCTTTACACCGAAAGAATCTCTAAAAATATAAGGCTTGTAGCTTGCGTGTGTTTTTTCACATAAGCATCGGAGACCGATTGTAACGATTCTCACAAGCAATCACAATCTCCTATAAAAAGAGGTAATAAAACGAAGGACAATCAAAATCATCAAAAGAAAAAAAAGAATGTTTGTAGGATTCATCGTTGCGTCGTTATTTTTGGCCAATGCGGGTAAGTTAAAGTGCACTCGGTAAGGATGATAAAGTCATTTTTATTTCGATAAAGCATATGCGTGTCGAATGTCTCATGCACAAGCTCTCTCATCTGTTCAATCAGTTGGCATTGGAATTTGGTCATCACATGGTTGTTCCGATCGAAACAATCCTATGTGTACATCACTTGATACAATTACATGCAATGCTATCAATTGTATTAAAGTCTTTAAACAAAGCAGTGGCTGTCCAGTCACTATCACTGGAGGTTTGTACGGAGATTTTCAATAAACTTCAATAGATGTATGCTTCTTTTCACAGCAACGGAAACTGGTCATGGTAATGGTGCAGGTCTCACCCACTGGAATGGATATAAAATCGATATCAGTTTGAACGCGTGTGTTGACAATTATATTCGTCGTTGGCCATTCATTGGAAATCGTGGAGATGGAGCAGCAATGTATAAAGCTGGTAGTGGCAATGTCTATGCACGAGAAAAAGACCATTGGGATATTGTTTTCAACAACCCCTGCTAAGAGATCTTCCATTAAACGAATAAATATCATCTTCCAAAAAATCTTTGTTTTTTATTTGGTGGAACGAAATTTAAATAATGATTGAAGGAAATTAGAAAGAGTATGAATGATATTACACGTATACGTTTTGTCTATGTTACAAGACGTACGCTTGTTTTGAGATCTTCCTTCCTGTTCTCCACGATCTATTTCCTATTCTTGTGTATTATGTGTAGGTTGGGAAAATGAAATTCTCTGATCGCAAGTTGAATATTTTCGCTCTCTTGAATTACAACCTCAACTATATCAAATTTCGATACGTTATGGAGAAACACGAGTGCAAGTTCATGAACTGACAGTGAACTTTTTGTGTTTCTGATGACATCTCCGAATCGATTATTGTCCAGAGCATTTTATAACGAGAATGTTTATGAATGTATGGAAATTATTACACCCACAGACATATCTGTTGATCGAATTGCACTTCTACATAGAAGTTATTGAACGATATGTTGCAGTGTCGTGATCATTGTATTTCAAACGTAATGTATCCAAAAATATTTGCGCTACCGTCTCTTATGAGCTAAACAGCCACTACGCAACGACATTTACTGTAGTGTAGAAGTCATTATCACTAGCAAATAGATATCCGATAGTTTATTGCTTGAATTTGCTGTATCGATCGCTATTACTCTAACTCTACTTTTTTTGGAAATATTTTTCATATACTGGACACTCAACAACTAATTGCAGAATATATGGCGTTGGTCGATTTTGACATTGATCATAGGATCGATCATTATACTCGTCAAATCTATAATCGTATTCTCATGCAACAAACCGCGCGAAACTCGTATCCATGGTTGCGCTATTCTTAAGACGTTCGCAGCACTTGTTGAAAGTCTTTGATGAGTTTAATTCGAAAAAACAAAACACTGTCTAGCAGGTGTGTCTGACCGAGCTATGAGAATTAATGAACATCTCTTGTATATATCGTTTATTTTATTACGTTAATATTAAACGTTATCTGTTTTCTTTCTGCGCTCGAAACGACGCCGGAAACTATACCAATCAAATTGGACTTCAATTAATCCCGATGGCAGATGATTAATAGCAGTAATGACCAACGAAGTATACGGTAAAATAAGAACTTCTTCTTCATGCGGATATTCCGATATCGGAGAAATGTCTAGAGCAACGTTATCATCGAATTGTAAAGTATACTTGGGAATTGTGTAGATAAATAAAACGGATAAAGGTCGCATGCTATCGTTCGTCAATGTGGCAAAATGTTCAGCTATCGTACGTGATTTTGACGTTGACATAAATGGTTTAACTAAGAGTTTTCGATCAACTTTGTAATTCGTTTTAAAATCTTCAATGGACAATTTCACACCACGATAACATTTGCCTACATATCGATATGGTTTTAGAGTACCATGACGAGCTAACACACCTGCAAATGCACGAAAATCATTTTTCGCATCGAAATATTCTCTATTCGACACTGTTTGCGCAAATGCTTTGTTGATTATCTGATATAATCCTGTCTCAGCTGTATATGCTTGTATTAACCATTTCGGATCTTGTGTCTTTCGTGCTTGATTAAGGAAATATTCCATTGTAACTTTATTGGTAGCATCTGAAAATCTGGCATCTTCCATGATACGAATAACAGCAAGAGATACGTCATCGTTCGCTATACGACTCTTGTACCACCAGCCGTACTGCCCAGTTTCAGCGGAGATCCATTCGAAAGTTTGCTCAGGTGAAATGTTCTCCTGAAGTCGTGCTTGTGTATTCGAAAATGCACGAGGAAAAAGCTGTTTAATCTCTTCCGAGGCGGCTACATCGACTGCAGTATGTCCATCTTTGTCAAGAGTCGATCGCATAGCACCATGATCGAGTAGAAGTTTCACGATTTCAGGATGATTACAGCTAGATGCAATGTGGAGACAAGTACTGCCATTAAATTGAATTCGATTGACTTCATGTATTGATAATTCAGAAAGTAACTGTTTTACAGTTTGAATATCACCAGTTCGACATGCTTCGTACAGTACACTGGTACTCATGATTCAACTCACCAGATGTTTTATATTATTTTTAACAAAGAATGTGTCGTTTGGTATGTATAGTCATAAGTAGTTAGAGAGAACAGAAAAAAGTCTTATACAAACAAAATCAAACAATCAACGCCCAGTCTATGAAGGTCGTTTGTATCAGTGTTCTCTCTTCGTTTGTTCATCTTTTATCAACCCTCTGATAAATCCAATATGAATGCTTATCACAGCTACTTTCACACAACCAGAGATCAATCATCTGATTTTCGAATAATTTTAGCAATCTTCTTCATCCCGTAGTGACGTTCTCTATGCAGGTTTCTAAAGAAACCGTCCACTATACTGACACATGATTAGAGTAATTAGTTTCCGATATGTACTACTGTAGTCATTTTCGTATGGTTTGTTATTGAACTATATCTTGGAGTATTTTTTTGAAAAATTTCATAATGTGTTTCGAGATGTCACTGTTGATCGATGATTGAGATATCAAGATATTTTCAGTTTGTTTGTGCAGATTAACACTCACATCCTTTTTGAATTCGTACTTACAAAGTCCGAAAATCTAACATTCTTGGAAACTCGATCAGTAGTGTTGTTACTTCAAAGATGGTATTCTCTATGATATCGCTTTCGAAACTTGTTGATACTAAACGCAGACATATGTTAAACAAATGTTCGAGTCCAGTTAAAAACAATTCCTGATTAATTACGAAACTGGTTCAGTTGTAATTGAAAATTTCGTGTATTGATTTCCACAGCCTTTTGAAGCGCCTTGAACTAGATAAAAGTCAAAGGTAGAAGTTAAAATTTAAATAAACAGATAGACAAACTTTATTGGTAGATTTGGATGAGCGAGCAGCGAAGCTTTGACCGATTTTAACAGCAGTTGAATGTAAAAATTGAAATAATTCATATGTTCGTATTTTTGATGACTTTGTCGCTTGATGATCGATAAATTTAACGTTGGAAAAATCATTCGAGATGATCTGTTCATATAATTCATTGATTTCGTTTGTACTATTTGCAACAAAAACATCATATCGTCCATTACATGTTGGGTTAATCACGATCAATCGGCTTCCATCGGGGTTATTCATCACAGTTTTCAATTTCGCTTCTCCTGTTATGTTAATAATTGATGTATTCAATCGTTTTGGAATGTATACCAGCGTTTCATCACTCAATGCTAACGATGTTCGATTTATACAGTTGACAGTCATATAGAATGACGATGTTGTTGTGTTATAAAAATATTGTTTCAATTGTCCGATGACGCCTCGCGGATGTACGCGAGAGATGATTCGAACACGATTGGGACGTTCAGGACCATTCTGATTTNCCGCATGTCGGTGGTTCTTGGTAGACAACTTTATTCACCGGGCATTGCCCCTTGTACAACAGAGGATCAATAGGTCGATCTTGATCGTCTGGAATATTTCTCTGTTCGGTTTCAACATTTACACCGCGTAATATAACGTGCCGTTCGTATTCATCAGCAATATAGCCGTAATGACCTACAAGATTAATTCGAAAATATGCTCTGTAGTAATAAGACAGAAATGGAAACCTTCTGTCAAGTTGGGTCGCACAACATGCAACCACAGCATTGATGACCCACATTTTGTCGAGAGAATGAACAAGAGAAATTTGATTATGAATACGTTTACGAAAATCATGCTGTATGACATGTGTAATAAAAATCAGTGAATAAAAGATAACATTTCTTTTCTTTTCTCCTATAAAAATGTCATCTGTCTTTGTTCACATAATATTGTGATTTATTAAAGTTCTGACAGAATGGCAGAGCGCGAGAAGGTATACGGGCTGTTTCACATGATGAATATCAATCACTGCTAGCAAGCATCAAGTGAAATATAAGATGTATGCATCATCGATGCAGCTCAGAGTGTTCGATTGAAAGAACTTTTTCTATTTAAAACAGAAATTGACGATCAAATCTTTCTATACAAGTGCGTTGCCTCTATCTGTAACTTTTCCATATTTCAATAACAATCAATGATAGATTTATTTAGCCAAATTACGACATCTTTTCTTTTCTCGGTTTCATATCAGCCTTCAGAATAGATCCATTTCCATTGAACGATGATTCTCATCTTACTGCTAGTTTTCGATGAGACACATATACACGAGAATACATGCCATCACATTTATAGCAATGATGATGATACAACTGCATCTGAAAAGATCTCATCGTACATTTAACGCAATTTCCCCAGCAAGCATTCACTCCTTTTATGCTCTACCACGATTTGCAATGATCTAAACCAGAATATGTTAATATTCCAGATTTGTCTATTTTTTGTGTCGATACAGACACAGTTGCTATCAATGATTTTCAAGCAATCTGCTCAGCTCCATCCATTTCTTTCATTTGAGCATTATCGGTGGTCCAACGTATAAAGTATTCCCGAATTCATTTATAGACACATCTCAAATTTGAAATGATCTCAAGCGAGGAAAGTGAAGTCATGATTGTTGATTAATCTATTTACACACGTAGATGTATGAATTTCAAAGGGTTCAGTGCGGTTTCTGACGAATCTCTTATACAAAATCATTTGATCTGATGTTCCAAGAAGGTTTTGTGTGAAGCCTTGAGAGTTCTTTTTAAATAATGGTTTCATATGGGAATATTTGTCCAAAATCTTTTATGTTTTCAGTTTAGAATAGAAGCACATCTATATTACTTAGGAACTCATATTAAAAACAATACTCTCTGAAGAAAAAATAATATTTGTCGAGAAAACTGAGAAACAGAATATTCTCTCGCTTCACTACAATTTTTTCCTCGTTCTCTTTGTAAAAAATGATGAATGCAATCTATTCTTACTCAACAAATTCCTATATAAAAGAGGGAAAAACAACGTCGGAAAATTCCCGACACGTAAGAATGGTTTTCCCTTTTCATTGTTGTATGCTTTGTATTTCTTTAACGGTATCCACAACATATTTTGGTCTTTTCTTAATGAATGTCTGCTGCTTTCGAGCTGACGTTTTGGCCAACCGTTGGTCTTTCAAAGGCCTATGTATAGCCGCACGAACACGTTTCGTTCTTTTTCCACAAAAGTATCCTACTCCAGCAGCTTTCATCGTCATCTCTTCCACCACGCTGAATAGAGAGTCCATTTGATTTTTATACTTATGTTTGAACTGTTCGACGAGTGAGACTAGAACATAAGACCTTTCAATTGCAAGTCTACTTACTCAGACCATTGCGCCATATTGGCATATCGATGAATAAGTTTAGATTTCTCTTTTTCAAGAAGACTTTTGTCCAGAACTTATCTCCAGTGAAATCAATCGTAGAAAAAAATCGTAAATAGATCTAAATATCAATTATTATAACTACAATTCTCAGTACGGTTTTAGTGAATAACATATTTATTATTTATATTCCGTATGATTTTAATGAGCGACTCTCAGTGACCACCACAAAGTTTGTTCAAACTTTCGATCAATCATTATATTCTCTCATCTTTATAATCATATAAACTCGGTAGTATCGAATGAACAGCCTAAGAATTTCGACACAAAGATGGATAAGATTTATTAGAGTAAATGAGCGAACTTTTTAAAAGAAAGTATAATTGAAAATGGCTTTTCAATAATTCCTGGAGGGAAAAGGATTTTCTCATTTCAGACGCGCTACAGAGTTACGTGGAAATGCGAGAGAATAAACAACATAAAGAACCAATGTTTTTTTGTCTTCTTTCAGAATCAGATAACAAACCATACAAAACGTCTTTTGAAAGAACTGAATAAAAAGTGAGTATTACCAACAACACTAAATGGAGAATTCCTATAACACAATCTTACCGTACATGCGATGTATAACGAAAAGTGAGAGTCAAGAAGTGCCTTTAGTAATTCGTTATACTTTCTAGAGATCCGTAACGATACTCAAACATCGATATTAATATCAGTACTGGTATTATGTGAAAGCATTCCAAATCTTTAAATCATATTCTACAGAAATATAGGTTTGTTAATATTGACAGTAATCAATCTGATGAAAAACTTAGAATGAATGGAAATTCTATAATTATGATAATCGATGTTGAGGTAAAGCATTTCTAACGTAAAGATTTGGAACTAACAACTGTTTTGTCCAAATTTTTGTTCTGAGTTAGTATCTCTTATTCCTCACAGACAAAGTCTTTTCCGATACGAAGCTTTCATATGAAAATTACATCTAATCTCTACTCGCAAGATTAAACCAATCTTGATTTTATTTAGTGAAATTTAATGTGAATCTTGACACTTTGCATGTTGAATCGGGAGTGAAAGATGCAGCACACAGTATTGCAGATGGAATCACCCATGGTGCCAGTAGTCTCAGCGATGGTGCTAGAACGATAGGTTACTGTTTAGGAATCGGCCTAATCGCGGTAGGAGTTGGCATCGCGGCTGGTCATATATGGATGAAACCACCAGTAAACAATTTCTATCGTATGTGTATTACAGTTTCTGAAACGTGAACTCATAATAGACTGATTTATTTTTAGCTCGAGAGTCATCAGCTGCAAGTGGGCAGTTTAGACGAGAGGAAAAGCATACTTCAAAATTCCGTGACTCCTGCAGTTCCTCAGAACCCGACGAATCTCTAGCCCCGAACTCCATGTGATTCTGCTTTGATAGTGTAAACACTAAACAGTTTTCTTGTGCGTATTTTGATTTTACGTTCAATTGTATATTTATCGTACTAAATAAATTCCTTCATATTTTTAAACATTAACGAAAAAGAAATGAATAGCAAATTAAAATGAATTAGTAGGGTGCGAATATTGTGCACAGTGTTCTGATTTCTTCATCATTCGACAATCAGCACCATATCTGCATGGTGTTAATTTCGATTTTGCTGTTCTATCAGCTGTTCGAGACTTGTTCTCTAAAGAAAAAAAAACATAAATTCTTTTCTATCGATTCTCTATGAACAAATCTCTTTTACTTTTGACTGAAGGCAATTCCTCGCCATGAAAGAATTTTATTCGATGCTCATCTGACTGTTCTCTGCATGATTCTTGATATCGACATGGATAGAGATAATCAGGTAAATTTGTATGACGATACTTAGCTCGGTGTATAGGATCTGTTCTTCTAGTACAATCTTTATCGTCTGAACAAAGAGAAGCTTTATGATGTGCATGTGTCAAATGAGGTTCGTTCTCTGGATTTCGACATAATTCATTAAAGCGACATGGATGACTGTATTCAGAGATGTGATCTCTAGCATTTTGCTTTAGACAATAAACTGAGTCTGCACAAGGACGTAGTTTTGATGATGCGCTTTGTGACGACGCTGTTTCGGATTTTTTCGACGAGCCAAAGATGGCATGTTTTAGTTTTGTGAACAAGGACAGTTTTTCTTTGGGTGCTGATTTTGATTCATGTGGTGCTGAGGACGATGGTTTTTCTCTTCGTTGATCACGAGCGTTTTTCTTAGGCTCAGTGTTGCCACCATCAGCAGCATAATGACCGTATGGCATATAACTCGGCGATGCTACTTGAGCTTTGAATAATTCAGAAGTATCAATTTTGAACGTTAGGTCACACAAGTTTTCTAATCCTGCTACAGGTTCATGATTTATTGTTAAATTACGAATCGGTACATCTTGATGACCGCCACTAACATGAATATAATTAATTTTCGTTAGATCTAATTCATGTTTATCAAATTGATAACTGATCTTTGTATGATTATAAATTCCATTAGGACCTACATGTGATAAAGTTACATCACCTGTCTTATGATTTAGTTTTAAGCAAAAAGTAAAAAANAGCTCTACCAGCTCGACTAGCTCCACTAGTTCTACCAGTTCCACTAGCTCCACTAGTTCAACTACCTCAACAAGCACAACGAGTTCTACATCAAGTACGTAGAATTTCACCGTTTCTACCGACTAGAAGGCCGGTGTTCAACACTCTATTGGTTATTTTTTTATTTAGCTACAACAACAACTACCACCACTACTACGACAACTACGGCCATACGTAAGTAATATTCGTCAATATTGACGATCCCAGCTTAAATATTCTCACAGCTGGATGAAAACGGAGCACGAGTTAGATGTACATGTCGAATCTTAACTAAACAGATTCTCTTTGAGTCAAGGCTATACTCATAGATGAATAGAAATTATGTAAAAAATTACCTTTTTTTATAAATTGTTATGTATTATCGACAGCAATCTATCGTTTAGCTTGTGCATGGTCACAATGGGTCAGTGGTCCGTGCAGCGTCACATGTGGTAATGGCGTATATAGACGGCAGCGTAACTGTATTGACACAACTGGTGTTTCTTGCGATAGGTGCGAGGAGCCGTCAACTTCAATCAATAGCACTCGGCCTTGTTTCTATCCTACTTGTTAACAGTTATAACATTATTATTGAAATCGTTACAGAACAATTATCTGTGAACTACACAGATATATACATATTCTCTTTTATTTTTCTTATTGCGTCTATTTCTTTTTCTTCCTGATTTTCACTTTTTTCTTTTGTACTTGTTTTTGTGCTGCTTTATTCTATTTTACTTGTGTTCTATATAACATGCACTGAAAACTCCATTATGCTTCCATCGGTTGTATATCAGTATCAATATTGAACTGAGTGTATTAACAGATAACAGATGGATTGACCTGCAGTTACTCAGTATGACTGAAATTCAATTTTGTTGTGGAGAAAAACTTGTAACAAACTTTAAGTATTTTTCTGTAATGGTCATGTTGCTAAGCAAACAATGAAGCACGGAGAACAGTCTTCGTTTTAGAATTGCAAACAATAATATTTTTTCTAGCGACTAATTCTCATCTCAGAGAGAAATATTTCAAAATCTCGAGAAGTGAAACCGTACAAATAAAGAAAGCTTACCATAAAAAAATCACAATAATGGCTTGATATACCTTAGTGATGATGATGATGAAAAAATGCGTAGAAATATGATTTTAGGTGAAACAGAAAACCGGGACTATGACCTGTTTCTTGTCAACGCTCAAATCGATCCAAGATAGATATTTGAATTTCTATACAGTTCCATATATGTATAGTCAATTTTGTGCTTTTTGCAGAAGTTACGATATTTGTTTTTCAAACTTTCCACTACATGCAGACTTTTAGCTTTATTGACCCAAAGGATTTTCAATACTTCTGTCTCTCGTCATTCGATACAGAATCATTCATGTGTATTTCTTTTTTTATGAACAAGTGTGCGAAAGAATACTTTTGTTAAACTAATAATATCTTTTTTTTCTGAAGGATTATATGTTGTTGTTGTTGTCTGCGATTATGACATTGTTCAACATCTCAGATTACAACCTGTCCTTTGATATCGAATATGTATAAGAAATATTTTTTTCATTTTCATTTTTTACTGATCAGAATGCAACATCATTTGTTTCGTCACATCGAGCGTCCTAATCCAAGTTACAATGTAGAAGATTTGCCTCGTAAAAAGTTCACTAAGTGTAGTATAGTCGGATTATTATTATTGTTTATTGTTCTTGGCACCGTCCTTGGTGTTGCAATTATCTTAGCTTTTGTGACTGGACTACAGAAGAATGGTTCCGCACCTGTACATCTCAAAAACGTTTCTACAGATCCATTCGATGAATCTTGTTTGTGTGGATGTTCAACTATTGAACCAGTATTTGACAATCGTACTAAAGGATCCGGGCGGATTATTAATGGCGAAACAGTACGTGAACATTCATGGCCCTGGCAAATGCTTTTGATTATCTATGATTTGCATCGTCAACCGTTGACATTCTGTGGAGCAACGTTGATAACTGATCGACATATACTAACAGCAGCACATTGTGTTCATCAATTCATGCCTCCGTTTATCTTCGTTTTTCCAGGCCAACATCAATTGAATATGAGTATTTCACCTTCGTTAGGCTATCCAGTTACACAAGTTTTTATTCACGAGCGTTATAATGTTTTACTTCAGCATGATTTGGCGATTCTCACTGTTGATCAGCCATTTCGTTTTGATTCACATCTTCGTCCGATTTGTCTGGCAACGTCGAAGTCACCTCTTCTACAAACGAATGACGAATTAATCGCTATTGGTTGGGGTCGCATTTCTGCTCAACCTGGAGCCAATATTTACGCAAATGACCTTCAACAAGTGGAATTATCCTACATTTCCGCTTCACACCCAAACTGTTCGGAAATCTTTCAGCCAATCGTCGGCCTTCATCCAGGACAAATGTGTGCAGGAAGACCAAAGCACAACGCTTGTTACGGCGACAGTGGTGGTCCATTGATGCGAAAGATTCTCTCGCTTCATAACGACAGTTATCATTGGGAACAAGTTGGTATCGCATCGAAAACAATCGATTGCGGATGGAATTCTACATGGCCGGATATTTACATCAATATATCGTACTATTACAATTGGATTATGAAAACAATAGAACATACGAACTAATTCCCATATATATGACTGTAATGTCAATGTTTTTCTCTTTCGTTCTGTTTGATTCTCTTTCCCACAATGGATGACTCATTTACTACTCAGAATTTCACGATTTGTGAGGTTGGAGAAAACAACATTGCATCACATGTAACTCTGACTTGTTTGTTGTGCAAGAAATCAGAAGAGATATAAAAAGATCTATTTGCACTACTTCCTGTCATTCTTTCGGAGTCATTGTCGAAATTCGCATGACTTCCTCGTCTGGTTATATCACCGAATTCAATCCCGAAACGAATTACGGTCTTATTCAAACAGATGATGAAAGTAATAAGCGTTGTTTGAAATTCCATTTTTACAGTTTGAAAAAGAACTCACGACGATATGTTAACAAAGAAGGTTCAACATTTGTTGGTGAATTGTTCGACTTTCATATAGTGCAGCGTCCAGATGGAGCAGAGGATGAAGCAATCAACATCAGACATCGTGTTTTGATGTGTCCAATCCCAGGATGCGCACGGCTGAAAGCCTTTACCAGCAAAAACTTATTAGACGAACATGTTCAAAGCAAACACAATCAGGTAAAGAAAAGTTCACTGCAAGTTGATGAGATCAAGCCGAAACCACCAAAGCAAAAAGGTAAAAGATATTTAAATTAACATATGTTCTTATTCTAATACTATTTTTTAGCAAAAAAGCCGGAACCATTCATAATGGATTTCAGTACTAAATCAGCAGCTGTTATTGGTCGTTTTATTGGCAAGCAAGGTGCTAACTTGAAAGAATTTCAAAAAGAACATAAAGTTGCGCTGAAAATCCTCACCAGTACAAATGCACTTATATTAGCACATAATCCTAAAGTACAAATCCGAGTGAAGCCGCTGAAAGTCAACGTCAATATTACTGAGGTCAATCTCAAACTGAAATCTTTATGGGAGAAATCAGTACGTGAGCAACTACACGAAGAGAATCAATACCAGCGAGCTCGATTCAATCGAACACAAATGCGATCCGTACCTGTACAACAAGTTAATTTTGATAGTGATACGAGACATCAACGTGCATTCACAATAGCTAATGATGATTCAGTACGACGACGATCATCAAGACACGGACACACAGAAACAAAATCAGGGAAACAACGAGCTAGGTCAACGTTAGCTTTAGAAGGACATCGATGTGCAGCAACAGGTGATCTTCAACAAGGTGGAACGAAACCAGTTCCTTTTCAAGAGAAGAAAAAAGTCGGTATGAAAGACAAGCAATGGCTAGTGAAGGAACAACTCGACGATCTGTCATTCGTAGATGATTAATATCTGTAGATACTTTTCTGTTTGCTTTATTTATCTTAGAATAAAATGCACACTGTCGAAGCTCTATAAAATTGCACATTGCCCTTGAGTAATTGATCTTGGACATTGGCAACGCTGCTCAATCGGAACATTTTTCAATGCTTGTTCTATATGTTGACCACAACCTAAATAGAAATGAGATTATACAGTTGCTTGTACCACGCGAATTGATGTGTACAACCTGCCCAGGTTGGCTTGTTGCATTTCGAGCATGTTGTTTGGTGGCACATTTGCAATTATAAATATGTGAATGTACCTATTTGACAAACTTGGTAATTATTGCGAAGTGCAACAGTATTAGAAGAGCGAACGAACAAATCAAGAGAATGCGTAACAAGTGAGGAATGTACACGATCGACATCTTCTGAAAGGAATATGCGCGTTGAGAATATGGGTGCTTTGTACCTTAAAACGTTACTGTTTGTGATTTATTCATTTTTCGAGATCGGCTTCATAAATATGTTAGTGGCCATTGGCGTTCTACAGTTGCAAAAAAATCACACGAAGACAGTACAGATAACGTTTATTTCGTTTTTTTTTTACATAAGTCGTCTCTCTTGTTGAATAACCATATGTAATGTGCATGACAAGGCAATTGTTTTTCTTAACAAGAAAAATATTCGTGTATATACAGTTATAGAACTCTTCAAACAAAGGTTGTACGAGGAATTTTCACTTTCTTCAACACTTCAAGGCAGCGATTGGCAACAAAGAGCGCTGACACTTCTAAATTATTCAATAGTAGAACGTTTCTTCCAGATTTCACTTTCAGTGGGACGTTTAAGTCAAGCGACGCTGTCTGAAAATATTCTAGTCACAAGTTTCAAAGTCACTTCGCATGTTGTATATTGTGATCGAAAACATAGTGATAAAAAATATGCATCAGTATTGCTGCAGACCAAATTGAAAGAAGTACTCTATCAATATTTGACTTTTTTATACCATTGACTAATAGACTTCTCACGAAATACTTTAGCTTCGTGTATTTCTAATCGTTCATCATTAGAGTTAGGTCAAAGTCTTACTAACAGAAATTATCTACAACTGAAGCGCTGAGTACGCCATATTCAATATATTGAAATTCTTCATTGGCCGTATTTGTCATTTTATAGACGGAGAAAAGCTAAACAAATACAAATACTGTCCTTTATATAACGTACGATGAATCACAGTATGAAAGATAGGAATCTTTCTCGCATGCCATTCTTTTCTCTCTTTCTACTTTAACTGGATACCAAGAGGAACTTTTGCACCGTAGAAAAATGTCTTAGATCGATATTTAGTGAAAGGTAGATACACAAACCTAACAATTTCCAAAATATGAAATAAAAAACATTGAAATACATTGATAGTTATTAGTCATCCCTCTCTATAACAGCCCATGCATAAGCGTCAAATTTTTTCGTTCTTTGTTTTTCTCTTCTCTATTTGCACTGTCTACGGCACGCACTAAAAACACCATACTCAGATTTGAATAACGTTGGAAAGAAAGAAAACAAAGTGCGTATATGCGAGCAATGTCCTTTTCCTTCGAAATCAATCCACGACTTTTGACCGATCTTCCTCCTCCTCCTCTACCATCCCATCAAGCTCTCCGCTCAGTCTATGACTACCAACAGCATCCACTCCTACCTCTTGAACAAGCTTGTCAACCCCTCCACGATATTCTCGGCAACGAACTACAACTCTACATGACGATCGCCAAACTCAACTGCCAACAGCCCAAACAAGGCCTCACACAAGATGAATCAGCATCCATCTATTTGTACACAATGGAATGGAATGAGCCACACCACAGTCTTCACGTTCTTCTCAATCAAGCTCTTTCTTCTCTCGATCCCAATCAACTGCAACCTTGGCTCAACTATCTCAAACTATTCTACACAGCACTCTTCAAACTACCGTAAGTGAATGCTTAGTTCTGAGAAAGTCAGGTTGGAGTGAATGAGTTGTAGGTATGCTGAGTGTGATACACTGTGGCATGGTGTGGCGAAGGACGTTGCTGAAGAGTTTCGCGAAGGAGATGAAGTGACATGGTGGTCGTTGACTTCGATGACATCTTCGTTTGATGCTCTTCAGTCTCCGATGTATTTAGGAAGAGAAGAAGTGCAGACGGTGTTTTCGATCGAGACGAAGTATGGAAAGTCGATTCGAGAGCACTCGCATGTTCAGAATGACGATGAGATAGTTCTTCTTTCTGGCGTAACGGTGAAAGTGATTGGGTCGTCGAAGGGTGAAGACGGAATTCAGATAGTTCAGTTGCGTGAGGTTGACCTAGATGGAGGTAACTTAGTGAACTCTTGTTCACCAATAGAAGAATACCATAATCCAAACCTTGAAAGAATCATTCGATCGTTAGGAGAGCACGAACATTTACTTTTAGAATCGATGAATCTAAATGATCAAGATATGGAGATTGTCGTCAAATTAGCTCTAGTTGAAAAGAATTGTGGGGCAATCGATCTTCGCAACAATAGGATAACATCTGTGGGTGCATCTATCTTGGCTCAGGCACTTCCTGGACGTTATTTTTTCTGTTTAAAATTAGATGAAAATCGCATACTGGATGCAGGCGTTCAGTCGCTTGCTAAAGGATTGGGAACTGATAGAGGTGCTATGAAAATGCTTCACTTGAATTCGGTAGGAATGTCCGACGCTGGTTGCGAATACCTGGCCGAAATGCTACAAAGAAATCCCTATAACATGTATCTAACTTTAAACGACAATGATATTAGCGATCGAGGAGTTCGCATATTGCTTGAAACAATAATGTCTCCTGACTGCAATACCTCACTTCTGACTTTGTCTGGCAACAAACGAATAACTGATGCAAGTGTTGACATCATCTGCTCTTCGATGTTCGCACGCCATTATTTCCAGCAAATGCATGTGCGTAACTGTAGCTTTTCCAGTGCGGGCAAAGAGAAACTTCAGCTTGCAGCTCAACAACGTCGTGGTTTTACCATTTATGTGTAATTCAAAACTCAAATGATATGCGTACTTTTTTTTATTTGGAACAAGAATGACGCCGGTCTATGCTCTGTTAACATTATATGCATCATACTTCAACAGATTAAACATAAGCCACTTAGCAGTTTATAATGATTTATTTCGAAGGATCTTAAATAATTCGAATACACTTCTGTTCTTGTTGTAAAAAGATGCAAAAAAGAAAAATAAAAACAAATGTTTTCATTTCCAAGCATCTATCATTTAGATTTTTCCCCAGCAACAGCAGGCTTTACTACCTGTCCAGCATCCTCGTCCTTCCGACCATTTATTCGATAAGCACACACCACCTGCTTCGCAATCAGCACATCGACCATTACAAAACGGACCAGTACCCAATACGACTGATTCCTTGTAGCCAGCTGCTGTACATGCAGATCTGCAGTCGCCTAATACTTGGCTTGTCAACAATATACAAACGAGAAAGACTTTCAAGAATTGTTTCATCTACGCAGAACGGAATATCAACAAAGAATATAGCGAAAAAACGAATAGATTACCTTTTTCGTATGGATAAATTGCTTTGGTTGGTATGATGAGAGTATCTATGCATACTGGAGATATTTATATGCTAAAGCCACGGAAGTGTTCGATGTCTAGAAACACGTTGTCTAGTCATGAATCCCTGAGTAAACAAAAAAATCATACAAATTCGTAGTGTAACAGTCAACAGTCTATTCAGTAAACCGCCTGAGTGCTTTTCGTGATATCGCTATTTTCGTATGCGCTCGTATTGTTGAGTAAGTGGGTGGTGACGTCAATATACATATGAGTATCAGAGGTGAGGGTGAAGAGTAAAACTGAAAATTTAATATGCAAATATTTTATTTTATTTTGATGCGTTGTTAGAGTATGCATTATCATACTATTTCAACGTGATCATAGCTGCGGGTGCAAATGTTTTCGTAGTGGACGAACTTCTTGAATTTTAACTTAGAATGAGCTTATCCACAGGATTTCATGAGATGCTAATAATTCTTGCGTAACTGTGATACTGACTATTAGTTTTCGAGCATCCTGGGAACTATTTCCACCTTCTGAATTACTGTCGTCGAATTCAGAATGGCCTGTGTTCCATAGTGTGCTCTTGTTATTAAATATAGCCATATATCTCTTGGTCCAATTCATATTTATACAATGATCAATGCATTCATTTCATTCAAATAATCTAAAATATCCTTTGTATCCTGCTCATTTCAATTGTGCAAACACTGATAATGAGAAACACATGATGAAGAAGCGGGCCTATCCTGTGAACTTACATCGCGCTAATTTTCAACTAAGAATGAACACCGAATTAAAATTTAGTTTTTTTCATCTTTTTCCCTGTTATATCGCAGCAAACGTATTCACCAATGGTACATAATTTTTCATATAGGTGCTCGCACGGGGGGAAAATTTTGGAAAACTGTCATGCGGGTGATCTTGAAATGGCACATCTCTTTTCCTTCTGAACATATCACGTACGCGCTCTGCGTTGAAATTTATCTACAATCTTCTATTCATCATGTAGATGTTTTATTTCAGTTTCTTTACACATACATGCATACATTCGTTTACTTAAATTAGTTTGTGAACGGCGACGAAAACACAGTTTAAGATTTTGGAAAGTTCTCCACCTTTGGTATTAGCGTCACTATACTGGAACAAAACCATAAAAACAGCCTATTATTCATTACCGTGAATAAGCGACATTCATTCACCTATAGGTACACTTTTTTCCCTTTTCTAATCATTGCATGCGCCATGACTCATTCTTTTCCACCTTGGTTTTTACCAACTTTTTTTCTTCATCAACATTTGTGCTCTCGTGACTATTGCATCTGATAAAAATATTCAAAAACAAGTATTTCTTACCAGACGCAATGTCCTTTTCCTTCGAAATCAATCCACGACTTTTGACCGATCTTCCTCCTCCTCCTCCTCCTCTACCATCCCATCAAGCTCTCCATCCTATCTATGACTACCAACAGCATCCACTCCTACCTCTTGAACAAGCTTGTCAACCACTCCACGATATTCTCGGCACCGAACTACAACTCTACATGACGATCGCCAATCTCAATTGCCAACAGCCCAAACAAGGCCTCACACAAGATGAATCAGCATCCATCTATTTGTACACAATGGAATGGAACGAGCCACACCACAGTCTTCACGTTCTTCTCAATCAAGCTCTTTCTTCTCTCGATCCCAATCAACTGCAACCTTGGCTCAACTATCTCAAACTATTCTACACAGCACTCTTCAAACTACCGTAAGTGAATGCTTAGTTCTAAGAAAGTCAGGTTCGAGTGAATGAGTTGTAGGTATGCTGAATGTAATACACTGTGGCACGGTGTGGCGAAGGACGTTGTTGAAGAGTTTCGCGAAGGAGATGAAGTGACATGGTGGTCGTTAACTTCGATGACATCTTCGTTCGATGCTCTTCAGTCTCCGATGTATTTGGGAAGAGAAGAAGTGCAGACGGTGTTTTCGATCGAGACGAAGTATGGAAAGTCGATTCGAGAACACTCGCATGTTCAGAATGACGATGAGATAGTTCTTCTTCCTGGCGTAACGGTGAAAGTGATTGGGTCGTCGAAGGGTGAAGACGGAATTCAGATAGTTCAGTTGCGTGAGGTAGGTTTGCCTGATGAATTTATAATGGCAGACACCATTCTAGTAGCAGATGAATATCGTAATCCGGAGCTAGAAAAAATAATTCAAGCGTCCCCAACTCGTGGTAAATTGACTTTAGACTCGATGAATCTAAATGATCAAGATATGGAGATTGTCGTCAAATTAGGTCTAATCGAAAAGAGATGTATGATTCTATCGCTTCGTGACAATCTAATAACTTCTGTCGGTGCATCTATCTTATCGGAAGCATTTCCTGCAAATCCCACTTTTAAGTCGCTGATTCTCGATGGAAATCGCATACTGGATGCAGGTGTTCAGTCAGTTGCCAAAGGATTATCGGATGTGAACATCTATTTTCGTACTCTTTATCTGAATTCTGTTGGAATGTCGGATGCCGGTTGTGAATACCTCGCTGAAGCGATCGGAATCAATCATTGCATAATCTACTTATTTCTAAACAACAATGAGATTACCGATCGGGGAGTTCGAGTATTACTCGAAAAAATTAGATCGGGTCAGTGTGGTTTAACAATGCTAACCTTGTCCGGCAACAGCCTGATAACTGACGACAGTGTAGATGTGATATGCTCTGCTATATCCACCAATATCGCGTTTCATCAATTGCATTTATGTCATTGCAGTTTGACGCCCGCAGGTCAGGACCGAATCCGAACAGCAGCGAAACGAGGCGGATTCGTTCTTTACATATGAGCTCTGATGAATTGTGACCATCATTGTCTATTTCTATCTTTATTCCGTAAAACGAATGATATTGCGTGCACTTCATTTATAAATCATTTATAAACATTTGATTTAATCATGTGAAGAAAGAGAACGACATTGGAACAAATTTTCAAAATGTCAACTGTTCACTATTTTTTATTTTAAATAATTCAAAATCAACTCCTGTACAATTTTGATTTATCTTTCTTTTATGCTGAATACTTATAGCATACGTTCATATAGGACATTCGGGAATATTGAATTAGTATGCCTTGAATGTACCAAAATAAAAGTATACAGATATTGATTTCGCGGTACTGTTGAACCTTTGAACATAGATTTATTAAGGTTTTTACATGGCATGATGATCAAGAATAAATGTGGGTGTTAAGTAAAGCAACCACACCGTTGTTTTCCTTTTCATTCTTTCCCAGACATATAAAAGACTTTCGGGACGGTAATATTTGTCTTGTGCTCTTAGGAAAGGTGCTTTTTCCCAAGCTTTTGAGGTATTTCAGACATGAAATCGACGATTTTCGCGGAACACAAATGTCGGCACATTGATCTACCATCTGAATCGACTTCGTGAAGTTTCGCTGCATACGTTGAGAAGGCACCGGTGAAAAACATTATCACAGTCGTTTTCGCTTCGAATCTCAATTTTCATAATATTTATCGTGGATATTGCAGTAGAGTATCATTTTACCCATACGAACGAATTTCAAAAGCCGATCATAAAGTTAGAGTCATCTCTTCTAGATCACATGTATTCGCTTAACGTTGTTGATAAAGTCTATCTGAACTACCAATCAGAAAAAAAGTGGTGCGATTAAACTTGTGTGAACCATATGCACATTTGCTTTGTTAGCAGACAAATGCAACTTAAAAGTACGTTGTATATGTATGCCAACATTTTTTGCATAAGTTGGACTCGACACAGGTTCTTGATAGGAATCAACCGAAACAAATCTCAGTGAGTGACGTTATGAGAGTGAGGAAAAACGGTGTTGTTGTCCACTTGTCAAAAATAGATGTGTAACGCAAGATCACATGTTAGATTGTAACGGTTGCTTAACACAACAACAAAGTATTCACCTTTTTATGGGTAACAATTGTTATTTCCGGGAAATATTCCATTAGTATTATATATGTGTGCATTTGGGTTTTGTTATAACTTAATCAGAATCCGTTGTAGATACATTCCCATTCTTGTATGGCAAATTCTTCGAGAGTAAAAGTGAACTTTGAAATAGTCAATGCGAGCATGACAAAGTATGTCTACAAATAATACATTAGTGATAAGAACGATTAGAAGTGTTGAAGTCTTTATCTTCAACTATAAGGTAACGACGAATATACGTTGGAAAACATCACAAGTTGTTGGGTGATAATAATATTTTTAGAAGCTCGGACGAACGAAGCAAAGAAATGGAAACGCCGAGGGATTTCTTATGTCCAATATCGCTTGCCGTTATGGAAATGCCTGTTATATTAATCGAAGATGGTCGTAGTTACGAAAAGTGTCAAATAGAACGTTGGTTAAGTACTAATAATACATCTCCCATGACAGGTAAAGTTCTGATCAACGAAGGTTTTATTCTAAATATTAGTCTCAAGAACGCTATCGAAGAGTTTCGCGAAAAACAAGAAAAAGCACAGCATTGTGAATTACTCTCACGTGAATTAGTTATTAAGCCTGGAGGATTGCCAGAAGAGTTCCAAGACAAGAAATATCCTCAATTGCGGATTAAAATATGTATGTTGGGTGATAGAAGCGTAGGTAAAACAACGATTGTCCGATATTTACAATTTCCAACTCGGTTTCGGAAAGATCAATATAGCACTACTATAGGTCCTGATATGATAGCGCTGCATCTGGATGATTTATTCCAAGAACGGTATGCCGTTTCCATCACAGTTGTCGATCTACCAGGTAACATGAGATACACTAACGTTTGGACAGATCAATATAGATGTCATGGTGCAATATTTGTTTGTGATGTAAGCCAACCGGAAACGTTGAAAGATGTAATAGATGGATGGTATCCTAAATTCAAACAACATCACTCTACTGGGTGCCAATCGGTACTTCTGTGTCATAAAACTGATCTATCTGAAGATCCGGAAGATCAAATATTCAAAGACGCCGAACAATTTGCGACGGAAAACGATATATCTCTATTTCATACGTCGGCGGTTACTGAAAAAAATATACAAGCAATGTTTAATCAATTAGTGTTATGTATACTGGCTAGTCGTTCTTTGTTAGACCAATTAAAGAAAAATGGTAGCAATACAACTATTGACCGTCAGAATCGAAGAGGATCAATTCAGCTGAGACCTCCTGTTAAAAAACCAAAGAAGGAAACTGGGTGTTGTTAGGTTCTTCAATTGGCTACTTTGTCGTAATTTTTGTGGAAAATATTTTGAATAAAGATACTCTGGAAATGAGTGGAGAGCGTATATGTTTGTCCTTTCTCAATAAATATAAACTCGACATTCTTGAGGAGATAATTGTGTGAGATTTAATAATGAAATTATGACAAATCTAGACAAAGGCTCGCGTTGCGTAGGAAAAATTGAGGCAGTGAACAAAAATAATCGAATTGCTGCTACTCATCGGATCAGACTGTCTGCTTTTTCTGAAATGGAGACATCATCAAACGGAAACAGAAAAACGAGAGTGAATTTTATAGACAAATACCTGGTTCTCGGAAAAAAATAGATTTATTCGAAAGAAAACTTCACCCGAAAGCACCTGGTGTACATTTTACACCAGAAGGATGATCATAGTGAGCACAAAGAACAACTGATTTTCGGTGCGGAGCGATAATATCCCATCCTGTAAACGTTAAATCACAAGTTCCGTTCGGTGGACAATCGATATTGGCAACGTGAGGTTCGTATTTTCTTGATGTTTTCCCCGTAAAGTTCATCAGATGAATTCGGGAGAGTCGAGCTGTCGACGGATGTTTCTCACATGTTTTACTCTCCGATTCATAACAGTTCATTATCTGAAAAGCGTAATCGCAATTGTCCACGATCACACCATCATATGTCACATTAGTCACAAATACTGATCCATGAGATGAACCTCCGGGCCACAATTTGATACCAGCTGCTTTGGAGCAATTAATCATCTTGATTTTAGATACGTACACATTTTGCACTACGTACGTCTCCCCGGCACCTAGACCGAGACTTCCGACAGATACACCATGTGATCCGACACAAGTGATATTGTTGACCGTGATGTAGTTTGCGCCATTTTCAAACGCCACGCAATCGTCGCCATTTGTCACGTGAATGTTATTTAATGTAACGTGAGAACATTCACCGATGTCAAAACCGTCAGTGTTCTTAGGATCATTGACAGATGTCGATACAGCACTTAAAATCAAATCAGAGAATGAAATATTATACGACTTATCCTTGACAGTGACGAACATCATCGGGGCATCTTTCAGTTTGATGTTATTGAACGTAATATTTGAAGCATTGCTGAAGAACATAAGCAGAGGTCTTTTATAGGTTTTATGTTTGGCAAAATAGTCCCAGTACACTTGCCCGCTTCCGTCAATAATTCCCATTCCAGTTAACGATTGAATGGTAGCACCAGTGATATTCTGTAATAGGATAAACGCTGTTTTACCATTCCAGTAATTGAGATCATCTGATACTTTAAGCGTTCCTTCGATTTGAAAGCTGCATTGTCGACAATTAGCGAAGTCAAGCGGACTTCGAATCATGAATATTGTATTTGAAGAGATGATAATCGTTCCTCCGTTGCCACATGTTAACAAAGCGCTGTTAATAGCAGGTACGTCATCTATAGAACTATTCCCAGCTGATGTGGGTGTACAAGTGTTTTCATTCGTTAAGGAACATATTTGATCAAATTTGCAAGCAAAAACAAACAAAACCAATGTAAACAGGTCTTCAATTTGCATGAATGTTTTTTTTATCTTTGTGTAGCATGCACTGAGAAGCGAACAAAAAAGATAACGTTAGATAGAGCATGTGCGCGTGATATGAATGTATATTTACACAAAAAATATCGCGTAATGTCATTACGAAAAATGCTTCAAATGGAGCACAAGGGAAACGCTGATGTTTTTTTTAATTTCTTTTTACTTTCACACCGATGAAAGTAAAACTAGAAAAATCAATGAATCGGCATAATCATGATGCGTCGATTCGGGCATTCTTTCTCTTTGTGATATTTGTGAATATTTTGGCGAATGTCGTTACAGTAAAATCAACAAGAATAAAGACAACATCAAACAGAAAAGAAAGATCTGAGTAAAATCAAGGTTTCAGTTAGAATATATACAAATTAGGGCCCAACAGAAACTATAGCCACGGACACATTACCACCCAAAGGACTGGCTAAATAAAAACTGATCGTATAATTCCTGCCGACGACTGTAGTTACATTTTGATATATTCCATCCGCTGCGCTATATTGAATGTCGAGATAAAAGTAGCTTCCAGATTTTGGTGAACATGAAAGATAACTGTTACTCATACCGCTCCCATCATATTTACTACAGTAATATGTCCAATAATCCCAACCACCCGTCTCAAATCCTCCATTTTTTATTAATTCCATATGATTCTGGGAATCCTTCATGGAGACGCTATCTAAAGCCCAGAAGTATTGCTGATTCTGAAAGCAAAACATCAGCGTTGTTATTGCACCTATCGCTCGATATGTGTATGAATATTGAATATATGATTGATTCGCAGCATTGTAAAGTTGTAGGAGAACAGTGGATTTGATGTACCCAGCACACACTGGCCCGACAGTAGTCACTGCTGAATATTCGAGAGCGATAATATGGATATGCGCAACGTAAGTTCGGACACTTACCTTGCGTGGTAGTTGGTAATAAGGTGGTAGTGTCGACCGATGTTGGTGGAAATTCTATGAAACAAGCTGAAGAGCTGTTTGACGTCGCAACCACTTGAACTCCGCCAGAGACAGTCGAATAATTTCTGAATAGTAGACAATTCGTGACATTCATCATACTTTTATAACAATTTAAAGCACATGAATTTGTTTTCAGCATATAACATATACAACTATTGCAATCGATTGAATCGTTCAACCATATACCCGTCGAAATACCCGAAAATGACGCATTTCGGAGGCATCCAACCTGCACAGCTAAAGTGCATTTGAATAGAAAGTATCCAATGTAGTACAGTTGTCTCATGGTTATGTTACACATACAAATCGTCAATCACGCATTAGATGTTCGTTGAAGAAGAAGGAGAAGAAATAAAAGTACTTCTCTTTTGTTTACCGAAGAATGTAAAGCGGAGAATATTGATTCAATCTTGTTGTAATTGAAATCAAATCTTCCGCGTCCTCAACGTCAACAGACACGTTGAGACCGAAAATACTAATTAATTTTATTCTATAATCAATACTTGAAAGAACGTACATAACTGAAGTGACAAAATACTCCTTAGTACTAAACATTGCACACGAGAGACTTATTAGCGTTGTTTTATATTGCAGTAAGATAGCCATTCGAGAGGCATATCATTAAAAACTGCATACCAATATCCGAAATAATTTGATTTATTTAATAGTGTGTCTGAAGGCACAACATGAAGAGTACGAGGATATTCTCCATTGCAAATCGATTTCCATGTCAATCCATTATTTATATAATGAGATGTGTGTCCATTTACGAAACACGGTAAAGCCACAAAATGATGTGGAAAATAAGTAGCAAATAGACTCAATGCAACTTGATCTGCAGTCCATAATGATCTCAGTCCTAGATGGATATATGCAAAATCAATAGCTTCGTCTAATAATTCTGTAAAACCAACTTGTCGGCAAATATTTAAATCTAATAAGACGATACCAGTGAGAAATGGATCAGGGTTTGATCCATTGTATTTGTAATCAGTTGGTAGAGATGGATTCCATTTTGCTAAACCTAATATAGTTTGGTTTCTTTTAAATAAACGAAATTGTTCCCAAATAGAATATACATCATCAACAAAAATAACATCGGAATCAATCACAATGACTCGTGGTACATCAGCTGGTAATAAATCATGAATTAAAGCTTTGGAAAAAGCATAAAGACCAGAATAATGTGAAACAGTAACTTGATGCTTTTTCAGAAATTGATTACCCACTTTCATTAAATCTCCTATGGGATATATTCGAAATTTCGTACACATGTTTTTTACAGAAGAAAAATAAGTGTTGAATAATTGTTTTCCACTTGCATCAGTAAATATATGAAATGTTAGAGTGTAAGATCTGCGATGATTAAACATGATTGATTTAATAGAAGTAAGCGCTAATTTATTAAACTTTTTATTTGCACATACTATAGCTAAATGAATTTCATTTTGTGTATAATGAACAGTTAAAGTTTGAAAATCGTTTCTGCCAAAAAGAGCCAATTGCTTAGTTTGATTTTGAGAACGCGATACTTGGCTGGAAATCAAGAATATAGTGCAACAGGTCACGATGAAAAGAACGATTGGAAGTTTGTGTGAAAGTATTGATACTGTGCTGTACATCTATGTATAAATAATCCGTATAGATTTGTCAATTTGACTTAGTAGTACTTAATAAAGATTCTCTCTGTGCATATCTTTATGAAGATAAACTTTGAACATACCTCCATCATTGATAAGAAAAATCGACTCCTTTGCTCGAGCTGTAACAGAAATAGTCCAGTTCTTTTTTGAAAAATCACTCTCCAGACAATATGATCGATGATTTACGGGTAGTAATTTAGTAATAAAGAGAAATGATTCTACAACAGTGAAAAACATTATTTGTTTATGTATTGAATGTCGACGTTTCGACTCAAGTAGAATCATTGTCAAGACAGAGAAAAAATGTGTAGAAGAAAGTACTGAAATCTCCAATTACGTTCAAAAAGTTAAACACTTTCTTTCACACATTTTTTCTGTCTTGACAAGGACTCTACTTGAGTCGAAACGTCGACATTCAATATATAAATAAATAATGTTTTTCACTGTTCTAGAATCACTTCTCTTTATTATTCTCTAGACACTCTGTACTTTTTCTTTTTTTTTCTTTCTTTGTCTCTAATGAGCATAATGAGAAAGCGCAGTTGTGCTAACTGCTATAACGCATGAGCTATACGATCTAGTAAATGCCGTTTTATAGTACTTCATTATACTGAAAAATTAAAATAGGTCTCTTCAAAATTCTTCTCTTCCTTCATTTGCTTCTTTTGATATGAGCGCGAGCTCCAAGTTCTGTTCTTTTTCTCATACTGCAAACATCTCATAATCATTAGTTTTAGCACACATACTAAAAAATATCTATTGTGCAGTGTAGCGCAAAAAAACGACTTGAGAGTTGTAGAGTGATATTTTGATTACGTTGCCCCTTTCATATCTTATCGAACAATATACAAAAAAGTTGTGTTAGTGAACGATGGGTACTCAACTATTTATGTCTAAAATACGGAGGAAACCAAAACTGAACATAAATCATTGTGGATAACCGAATATATCAATGTTGTCTTTTTTCGACTTTCGTTCCCGCCTTCACTTAGATTCTTATGTGGTTAACTGTTCTTGTGCTTATCGATCGGATTCCATTTGTATTTATATGTCATATATTCCATCAATCATATAGATCGATGAAAGTATCTGTTGCGACTGTGTTTGGCAAAAGATTCAGGTTATGGATATTTTGATGGAAAAACTTTATTTTTTTCCGTATGTTATATCTTCATGTATTTAATAATCTAAGGGTAAAATAAAAATTTTTTCTTTTATGAAACTATTTTTGTACAGGTGGTTACCTGTTGCGCTTATACACTGTGTACGTATTTGATTCTTGAAAATAAATTACACATGTATACAGAGTGCTAAAAAACAGAGAGTAGCTGTACATTGTATTTCAAATTTCTATTAGAGACACTGCTGTCGAATAATAAAAGATTCTTTGGTATTATCAAGTCTTCTATACGAATGAGTATGGTGATCGTGAACAAAATTGATAATTATGCAGATTACTAATTCCGATGTCTATAAATTTTATTTTACAATCGTAGCGTTCAAAAGAGTAACAATAAGGGTGTAAGTTTTCCGAAATGTAAGGGAAAACCTCTCGTTTATTTGTAAAGGAAGAAGAACTTGAAACGAACGAGAAGCGAAATGAGAATAGCAAATATAGCTGTGAACGAGAACAGAATAGGTAGAAGTAACACGAGAGCAAATCACATACTTGCCTATATATATTGACGCATGTGAAGGAAAGGAAAATACCGTGAAAGTGTATGGAAATATTCTTACATAAAATCCAAGATGACGTGGTGATTTTCCCTGGCTAGATCCTGGCCATTTTCGAGAACAAATCACCAACAAAGGGAAATTACCTACTGATCATTTAGCTGTATGAGCCATTTTCGAATGGATAATATAACTGGACAGAAGACAACAAAGAGGAAAATATGAATTTTCATTCAATATATCATCATTTTTCTACCATTCGAAATGACGAAGAAGGCAATTTGTATTACTGGTTTAACCTTCTGGGTGCCGGCCACTTTTGCATTCAGTCTAATCACTTGGAATAAGCTGTACACATGTATGAGTTATATGAATAAATGTCTGTTGATTTTTTTTCTTGCTATAAGATATATGCTCCGCAAGATGCGATAGAACGGAAAAAAAAGAAGTTCGCTCGTTCTTCTTGTATTTGATCTTAAGACAGTATAGTATTCAAAATATTGATCTTTTTTTTCTTCTATCGATAATATAATTCCATGATTGCTACGAAACATTTATTCATATTCTAACAAATAATCTATGAAATATTATGTTAAGTCTCCAAGGTAAAAAAATTAAATACAAATCTTATATTTTGTCCATATTGCATTATTCTATGTTTAATAACATGGACTTGCATCAACCGATCAAAACACAACATATTTGTATTGACATATGCATTCTATCATGGAACTGTGAAGACCTTAGCCAAATATCTTGAATAATTTGCTCACATCGAACCTCTCAATAAGAAAGAAATGGCATTAAGAATTGCTTCTTCTTTATTCAGCTCTTTTATGATATGACGCATACCAAATAAATATGCAATTTAATGTATAAAGAAATAGTTCATGAGAAATGTGTGGAAGAAAACTATGAAAGCCACCTGGCCATACATGTAGTTCAGCAATAACATCCGCTTGCCAAATATGTTGAGTATAATCAATACTTTCATCACGAAAGCTAAATTACTAAGATCGTGGGCTCACGCCGAAGCAGTATATGGAGAAACATCAACTTTGCCTCGTTGATTGCCTAGTAATACCGCCCAACCAACTAAATTTGCTTTTCAATCCCATATATTCATACTTTCGTATTGATGAGCAGAAAAATGCTTGATCGCGATCACGAAGCATTAGACAAAAAAGTAATTGATCTTCTAATAAAGGTCTTCCATGATCACGTGCCATTAAAGCAATAGCAGCTGTAAATAGTGCTTCTACGGATAAATCTATATAGTATTAAAATCTATTGTCGTTTTTTGTAGGAAATCATACAATGAAAAGAATAATAGAAGGGAACAAATCAAATGACTATACGTATAATACACGCGTGTCTATTTCTTTTTTCTTAACAGTGCATTTGAAGGACATATACTTTACAATAGAAAAGTTTCGTTAGATAAAAAATGTTTAATGAATCATCATTTCGTTACTTATTCTTTATTCAATTATTTTGAGAATGTGGCCCACAGCGACTGTTCCGTTTTGTTCTCGTAATGTAAATCGACCAAGTGGAGCAAAGTTTTTGAACAATTCCATACAGATTCCTTTTCCTGATTGAGATAACTGAAATCGAGCAATCGCAGCATGACCTTGTTTAATATAACGTGGATTCGGTTGTGTTCGTTCACCTGTCATCCGATCCACTAAAACGATTAGTTTTTGCAACTGAACTTCGACGGATGCCCCGTAGATGTGAAGAGCTGCCGAATAGCCAGGAGATATGAATGATTTGTGTTCAACAACCACAATCTACATCATAAAAGACATTACTTTCAGATCACGTGAATGTTTCATCAAGAAATTTACCTCAGCATCAAATAGTTTTCCAACATGGCATGGTTCGCTCTCCGTGCTACATAGAACAGATCCAGATGAAATCTTCTACAAAAAAAAGAGAATTTCATGAGCGATTCAATTTAAAACAGATGGATGGAATACAAACGTTTTCATCAATATTCTCCAGTTTCAATCGAACATTTTCTCCACAAATACAAAAATCAGTTTCCATATCTTCATAATAGATATTTGTTACTTTCACACGATTCCGGTTGGGCATGATTACACATTGATCACCAACTCGACAGCATCCAGACTCAATTTTACCCATCACAATTATTCCCATGTCCTTTTCAAAATTAAATATTACATTTTGTCAACTCAATACAAGACCTACTTTGTACTTTTCAACTATCGGCATACGAAATGGACCATCGATATTACGACTGAACGGTGGCAAACTATCCAAATACTGAGCAAATGCCGATCCACTATAAACACGCGCAAAAAACATTTCTAATTGAAAGCTACCGTTTGAAAACACTCACGTGTACCAAGGAGCACATTGCTCCTCAGGAGCCGTTTTGAGAAAAGATCCTTTCATACCGCTGCATGGGATGAAGGTAATATCTTCGTCCGATTTAAAACCGCACTTTTTCAAATAAGGTATTAATTTATTTTTGATTTCATTGTATCGTGCTTGATCCCAGTTAACAGTCGAATCATCCATTTTGTTGATTAGAACAATCATACGACGTACGCCAGCTGCTTTTACTAACATCGTATGCTCACGAGTTTGACCACCACGTTCAAAACCCGTTTCAAATTCACCTCTGCGTGCTGATACGACCTATGAGATAGTCCAAATAGTAACTTAGGTAAAATCCATGTGGCATAACCCAACTTACCAATACGGCAACGTCTGCTTGAGCTGCTCCAAGAATCATATTTGGTACAAAGTGTCGATGGCCAGGTGCGTCAAGAATAACGATATGTTTTCTCTCGGTTTCAAACCAAGCTCGACCAACTTCGACAGTTATACCGCGTGCTCGTTCTTCTTCGGTAGTATCCGTTGCAAACGCATGCACCCCTGACTCCCGCGAGTTCTCACGAGCTTCTGCTTGATGTTTTTCTAAAGTTCGTTGATCAATTTGACCAGCCAAGAACCTAAAGCAAAATTCAGTTATAAAACAGACTTGAAACGGAAAGGAGACGTAATTACAGTAAATGACCAGCGATGGTTGACTTTCCGGCATCTACATGGCCACAGAAGAGAATGTTCAACGGTTCCTTCTGTCTCCCAATGTCTCGTTTAACAACAGCAATAGCTTTCTTGCCTTTCGAAACGGATGAAGTGTTAGATTTTGTTGTTTCGTTGAGCGTTTCTGCAGTAGTCGTTGGAGCGGTTGTCGATCGTGCATATTTTTGTTCCATTTCAGCATTGATTTGTTCAGCAGACGAAAGTTTCGGGATAAATCCTGGTACAAATTCTTTCGCATACGCATTTAAATCACTGGAGCTGACTGCTGAAATCGAATTGCCTTCGTCGTTTTCATCCCAAGGAACTGGTGATTGAGCCATTGCTTTGACAGTTTTTGCTTTCGTTACTTTTTAAATGCATTGGTGAATACGCTTTTATAAATACACGCACGTTTTGAAAGACATGAAATTGCATCTTGCGAAAGAATGAAAGAAATGTAATACTTTTCGATTTCTTTCATGTTATGACGTTTACCTGCTCTTTCTCTCCTTACGATTCGTATGTGTTAAATCCCAGAAACTATAGAAAGTACACTTCATTCACATTGAGTTTCATGAAAACAATCAGAATAGATACGTGTGTGGGTGTTTATTAAAAGCATGAATACTTAGGATAGCTGGGTTATAACTAAATCAAACATAGGCCTCAATATGTATTATATGTTTTTTCTTCTGTTCGTCGAATTCGACTTTCTCCACGCAGAACTGTACGCCCGCTCGGAGTAGTACCTCTTCCTCTTCAGGAAATTGGGATAAAACTCTGATATCCACTGCTCGTCCATCATTTGGATACTGTTTTTTCAACTGAATAATCATTAACGTGTTTGCATCGTAAAATTCCGCCACTTTTCTGCTTCTACTCGTCGATATAAAACCAAACCATCGGTACGTATTCGTACCAATTGCTTGCTGATAAGCTTGCAGTTCTGTGGAAGACAGATTAGTACCGCGATAGACGGTTAATGCGTCTGCAGTGAGAGAATACTCTTTGAAATGCAAAAAGAGTAGTTTTAAATATGGTCCAAGATTGTCGAGTTTACTTAAGTCATTATTACATAGAAACTCGTTGAGACTCATATACAGAAATGAACTGCGCGTATATTGATGAATACATTGTAAACCTACGAAAGAACGATCAGCTTGGGCAGCACGTTCTAATTCTTCAGCGATATAATTAGCTTCGATCGGCTTTCCAATTAACCTGCCTTCGTTACGAATACCATTTGCAACGGCAGAAATGTTGACGTCTAATGATAAACACTTGTCAAGGATGGGCGTTTGATCGCTTGATGTATCATTGTAGAAGGTAGCATATTCTGCTAATTGTTGTTTGGCGTTCCATTTCTCACGAATCTCTGCGTTGTACTGAGGGTCAGTAACACGAATAACTTCGGTCTTAGTTCCATCTTCTTTGTTTACTCGGTAGCCTTCGTCCAAATTAACAATGCAGCTGTCTAGTTCGACGCTTTTCTGCTTATTTAAATACGCATGATCAAGAATCGATATCTCGATATTCCAAAACCAAAGCCACTGAACTTTTTCAGGCGATATAAATTTCCACAGCCAAATTGATGCACCGTCAGCGCTGAGCTGTGATTGCTCAGTTCGTTTCACATTTATTTCAGCCTTGAAAAAAATATAAAGATGTATTCTTAAAAAATCTATTTACATCTTTCATACCTTCTCGAGCGCAGACGATGATTGCGGTGAAGTCGTTGGAACATCGTGAGTGGCAAACGTTTTAGTCCACTCGATCGCTTTTTGCTGAAATTTGTCACGATCTTCTTTGAAAAGGAAAGCCGCTTCCGGATAGATAAAGTCATCAAAATTCGGATTAGCAAGTAATTTCTGAATACTTTGTAGTAAAACCCGTATACTCCGTGTAGGACTCCAACCACCATCCATAAGTACTTCGAAACAGATGCGTCCATTAGGATCGATGTTTGGATGGAGAATTTTGGTAATGAAGGATATCTCCTGAACCTCGAATGGATAATCAAGAGGAAATCTTACTATCACTTGAAAACGACCATTTTCATATGGTGTACCAGCAGGACCTTCCACAATAAGTTCCCATGGACTGAGTTCGTCAGGATCATAATGTTTTAACGACCACCCCGGTTCCATGCTTGTTTGTAATGAGACCAATTGCGTACGAATGGCTTTTAATCTGTTCTTGTACTGTGGAGCAGATACTTCACCTAAAATTAATAAATTATTTGCTTGACGGCAGAAATGCGCTGATTTGACTGTATACGCGCTTCTATAGTTTTAACTTACACTCTTTTACAGCTAAGTCTTAGTATTTAAAATATATACATACTTAGTTTTCGTTCAACTTGGCAGATCGTCTTTCCCATAGATTCACGATAGGCGTGAGTTGATGCTAGAGATTTCTGCCATATATCATCAGCTTTTAAGAAGTATTCTAGTGCTTTTTTATAATCATGCTGCTGATAATACATAGCTCCCATATTCGCGTATGTTTGCCCCAACTTTGGATGATTCTCTCTGAGTTGTTCGCGATCGATGTCAAGTGCCTTTGTGAAATAACTCATTGCTTGTTCAAAGTCATGTGTTCTTGTATATAGATTGGCCAAATCTTTATAAATATTGGAGATAAGATCAAAATCTAGAGTAATAGTCGCTATAAGATCAAGTGCCTGTTTGTACCAATTGATGGCTTCAGCGTTATTCGATGTCAAACAATGGATCTTCCCAATTGACGTGTAACATTTCACCGTATCTGTCACGATCTTATCCGATGTTTCCAATTTTAATAATGTCTCCAATTCTTTCTCGTGATTTTTCAATGCTTCTGCATAATTCTTTAGTTTGGCATTTGTTGCACCGAGTGAATGATAGCATCGAGCTAATTCAATAGGAGTTGCCGATGACTGATTTAAAATTGTTTCGAAATATTGCTTGGCTTGTGCATATTCGCATCGCCAAAATAAAAGATCACCTTGGCTAAACATGTCTGTATGGTTTTGTGTAGATGCTATTGCTGCTTTGCAAGTGTCATTCATGTTTGAGTCTGTCGGCTTTTGCGTATGTAATGATTTTATTACCAAACAGAAAAATATCTTTTCTCTCAAGCGGAAAACAAAGCCAACGTATCGTATACTTCGAACAGTTGATAGTGATTCTATGGAAAAAGAAGTCGAGAAAAATATACGCGACGAGAGTATTTATCGAAATTACTAGATATCTGCAGAACCGAAAAAACAGTCCACCACGTACTCGTGCTTTACAAAAGGAGAAGAGAAAGTTTTATTTCTGTCTGTTTTTTTCTTGTGCATCAACACTTCATTTCTTGTACTGCGCCAAAAACATTACTATATACGTCGAAAAAAAACGAAATAGGTAGTGAATATAAGCAGGTAATATATCAATGTAATCGTTAGTGACAATTCCGTCTCGTTATCACTAGTGTATCCAACCTCAATCTGCAACTTGCTCGTGCATTGTAAAAGAAGTGAAACAGAATACTACAGATGCAAAAAAAGTAAATCACAGTAGTACTTTGTGTCTCGTACAGTATTCTCTATGCTTGTTTTGTTGACGATCTTAGGTATTGAAGGTATTAGTCAGCTGTCACAAAATTTCAGGGTAATCTCATAAACGCGTCTTCATATCGCATCGCTTAGATAGCTCATTTAACTCGCGATCCTATGATAGTACCTGGTCAAGCGCAGGTATGTAAGAATTCAATGTCTGAAACAGCTAATACAATGTGAAATGCTCATTTTGTTTTCTTTCACTGTTTCAGCCACCACCGCTGCCACCCATACTACCTCCCCCTCATCCGCCGGAGTTCTTACCACAGGATGCTGATCCGCAAGACCCACCGACGTAAGTTCCTTTATTTTAGTCACAGCCACACAAGTTTTCAGTCCACATACATTTTCAGATGTTTAATCTGTTTGAATGATGTCCAACCCAATGAACCAATTCTTACTTGTAGGGTGTGTTATAAAGTATTTCATTATGGTGAGCTCCTCACATGGCTAACTAACCGCCGGAACCTTAGAGAACGTGAAAACTGTCCCAATTGTCGCACGGATATGGGTAAGATAGCTGATAGAAATTTTTATTGCCTACCATAGCGAAGTTTCGTTAACAGGATGGGTACTTAATCCCCCACCTTTACCACAGCCTCCACCTCCACCCCCACCTCCACCTGCTGATAACTTCGATGGTGACGCTCCTCTCGGTGTTCAACCAGCTGAATTAGATAACATTAACAATTGGGATATCAATGGGATGATACTGGATAGATGAAGAGAACTGGATGGTTCTTTACTCGTAACTCGTTTCTCTTGTGGGGACAGGATAAAAACGCATTAGCTTACATCGTAATTATACATGAACTATGTTACACTTAGTTGCATAGAAAGAAGTTTTTACTAAATCCCAAATATATTCATGATTGGTTTCATGATGATGAAATGTGTTCGCATTTTTTGCTTGGTCTAATCATAGACATATTTTCAGCCTAAATGCTGTGAAAAACACATATGTCAGAATTTTATACACGATCAGACTACACCCACATTTTGGTAGTTTACGACCAAGGACGTTCGGTCCCTTCGACGTATGCTAAATCTTGTCCTTTACACTGAAAGAATCTCTAAAAATATAAGGCTTGTAGCTTGTGTGTTTTTTTTCACATAAGCATCAGAGACCGATTGCAACGATTCTCACAAGGAATCACAATCTCCTATAAAAGAGGTGATAAAACGAAGGACAATCAGAACCATCAAAAGAAAGAAAGAATGTTCGTAGGATTCATCATTGCGTCGTTATTTTTGGCCAATGCGGGTAAGTTAAAGTTCACTCGGTAAGGATGATAAAGTCATTTTTATTTCGATAAAGCATATGCGTGTCGAATGTCTCACGCACAAGCTCTCTCATCTGTTCAATCAGTTGGCATTGGAATTTGGTCATCACATGGTTGTTCCGATCGAAACAATCCTATGTGTACATCACTTGATACGATTACATGCAATGCTATCAATTGTATTAAAGTCTTTAAACAAAGCAGTGGCTGTCCAGTCACTATTACTGGAGGTTTGTACTGAGATTTTCAGTCAACTTCAATAGATGTGTGCTTCTTTTCACAGCAACCGAAACTGGTCATGGTAATGGTGCAGGTCTCACCCACTGGAATGGATATAAAATCGATATCAGTTTGAACGCGTGTGTTGACAATTATATTCGTCGTTGGCCATTCATTGGAAATCGTGGTGATGGAGCAGCAATGTATAAAGCTGGTAGTGGTAATGTCTATGCACGAGAGAAAGACCATTGGGATATTGTTTTCAACAACCCCTGCTAAGAGATCTTTCATTTAAACGAATAAATATAATCTTTAAAAAATTCTTGTCTTTTTTATTTGGTGGAACGAAATTTAAATAACGATTGAAGGAAATTAGAAAAGTTATGAATGATATTACACGTATACGTTTTATCTATGTTACAAGACGTACGCTTGTTTTACGATCTTCCTTCCTGTTCTCCACGATCTGTTTCCTAGTCTTGTGTATTACGTGTAGGTTGGGAAAATGAAATTCTCTGATCGCAAGTTGAATATTTTCGCTCTCTTGAATTACAATCTCAACTATATCGAATTTCGATACGTTGTGGAGAAACACGAAGTGCAAGTTCATGAACTGACAATGAACCTTTTGTATTTCTGATGACATTTCCAAATCGATTATTGTCCGGAGCACTTTATAACGAGAATGTTTATGAATGTATGGTAATTATTACACCCACAGACATATCTGTTGATCGAATTGCAATATCGTGATCATTGTATTTCGAACGTAATGTATCCAAAAATATTTGCGCTACTGTATCTTATGAGTTAAACAGCCACTGCGCAATACGACACTTACTGTAGTGTAGAAATCATTATCACTAGCAAATAGATATCCGATAGTTTAGTGCTTAAATTTGCTGCATCGATCGCTATTACTCTAACTCTACTTTTTTTGGAAATATTTTTCCTATACTGGATGCTCAACAACTACTTGCAGAATATGGCGTTGGCCAATTTTGGCATTGATCGTAGGATCGATCATTATACTCGTCAAATCTATAATTGTATTCTCATGCAACAAACCGCGCGAAACTCGTATTCATGATTGTGCTATTCTTAAGACATTCGCAGCACTTGTTGAAAATCTTTGATGAGTTTAATTCGAAAAACCAACACACTGTCTAGCAGGTGTGTCTGATCGAGCTATGAGAATCAATGAGCACCTCTTGTATATATCGTTTATTTTATTACGTTAATATTAAACATTATCTGTTTTCTTTCTACGCTCGAAACGACGCCGGAAACTATACCAATCAAATTCGACTTCAATTAATCCTGATGGAAGATGATTAATAGCAGTAATGACCAATGAAGTATACGGTAAAATAAGAACTTCTTCTTCATGCGGATATTCCGACATTGGAGAAACATCTAGAGCTACATTATCGTCGAATTGTAAAGTATACTTGGGAACTGTGTAGATAAATAAAACGGGTAAAGGTCGCATATTATCGTGCGTAAATGTGGCAAAATGTTCAGCTATCGCACGTGATTTTGACGTTGACATAAATGGTTTAACTAAGAGTTTGCGATCAACTTTGTAATTCGTTTTAAAATCTTCAATGGACAATTTCACGCCACGATAACATTTACCTACATATCGATATGGTTTCAGAGCACCATGACGAGCTAAAACACCTGCAAATGCACGAAAATCATTTTTCACATCGAAATGTTCTCTATTCGAAACTGTTTGCGCGAATGCTTTGTTGATTATCTGATATAATCCTGTCTCAGCTGTATACGCTTGTATTAACCATTTTGGATCTTGTGTCTTTCGTGCTCGATTAAGGAAATATTCCATTGTAACTTTATTGGTAGCATCTGAAAATCTGGCGTCTTCCATGATACGAATAACAGCAAGAGATACGTCATCGTTCGCTATGCGACTCTTGTACCACCAGCCGTACTGCCCATTTTCAGCGGAGATCCATTCGAAAGTTTGCTCAGGTGGAATGTTTTCCTGAAGGCGTGCTTGTGTATTAGCAGATGCACGCGGAAAAAGCTGTGTAATCTCTTCCGAGGCGGCTACATCGACTGCAGTATGCCCATCTTTGTCAAGAGTCGATCGCATAGCACCATGATCGAGTAGAAGTTTCACGATTTCAGGATGATTACAGCTAGATGCAATGTGGAGACAAGTACTGCCATTGAATTGAACTCGATTGACTTCATGTACTGATAATTCAGAAAGTAGCTGTTCTACAGTTTGAATATCACCAGTTCGACATGCTTCGTACAGTACACTGGTACTCATGATTCAACTCGCCAGATGTTTTATATTATTTTTAACAAAGAATGTGTCGTTTGGTATGTATAGTCATACAGTATGTAGTTAGAGAGAACAGAAAAAAGTCTTATACAAACAAAATCAAACAATCAACGCCCAGTGTATGAAGATCTCATGTGTCAGTGTTCTTTCTTCGTTTGTTTGTCTTTATCAACTCTTTGATAATTCTAATACGACTGCTTATCGGCTAGTTTCACACAACCAGAGATCTATCATCTGATTTTCGAATAGTTTTAGAAATCATCTTCATTCCGTAGTGACGTTCTCTATACATGTTTCTAAAGAAACGGTCCACTATACTGACACATGCTTAGAGTAAATAATTTCTGACATGTACTACTTTGTAATTTTCTTATGGTTGTATTGAACTATATCTTGGAGTATTTTGTTTGAAAAATTTCATAATGTATATAGAGATGTCACTGTTGATCGATGATTGAGATATCAAGATATTTCAGTTTGTTCATACAGATTAACATTCACATCCTTTTTGAATGCGTATTTGCAAAGTCAGAAAATCTGACATTCTTGAAAACTCGGTCAGTAGTGTTGTTACTTCAAAGATGGTATTCTCTATGATATCGCTTTTGAAATTTGTTGATACTAAACGCAGACATATGTTAAACAAATGTTCGAGTCCAGTTAAAAACAATTCCTGATTAATTACGAAACTGGTTCAGTTGTAATTGAAAATCTCGTGTATTGATTTCCACAGCCTTTTGAACCGCCTTGAACTAGACAAAAGTCAAAGGTAGAGAGGTTGAAATTTAAATAAACAGATAGACAAACTTTATTGATAGATTTGGAAGAGAGAGCAGCGAAGCTTTGACCGATTTTAACAGCAGTTGAATGTAAAAATTGAAACAATTCATATGTTCTTATTTTTGATGACTTTATCGCATGATGATCGATCAATTTAACGTCGGAAAAATCATTCGAGATTATGTGTTCATGCAATTCATTGATTTCGTCTGTACTATTTGCAACGAAAACATCATATCGTCCATTACACGTTGGGTTGATCACGACCAATCGGCTTCCATCGGGGTTATTCATTACAGTTTTTAATTTCGCTTCTCCTGTTATGTTAATAGTTGATATATTCAATCGTTTGGGAATGTACACCAGCGTTTCATCACTCAATGCTAACGATGTTCGATTTATGCAGTTAACAGTCATATAGAATGACGATGTGGTTGTGTTATAAAAATATTGCTTCAATTGTCCGATGACGCCTCGTGGATGTATGCGAGAGATGATTCGAACACGGTTGGGACGTTCAGGACCATTCTGATTTGCAACTGTTCCATTCGATATACCTGAATCGTATAAACTCCAGCTTGTCTCACAACCTGCTTGGAAGCAATTGTTTTTCCACGGCCAGATTGCTGCCGATACCATTGCTCTGTCTTGAGATTCGACTGTGGGAACTAATAAACGTTCGTCATCATTTGCTCCACAGCCAAATTCAGTTACGAGAATCGCAGTTCGTAAGCCAACCGATTCGTTTAACGCCGTATCATACGCATAACTAATTCGAAAACAGCAGAGAGTATATTTTCGAAGGAAATCAAAACGCTATGTTCCTACTCGAATGATGGTGGATATTCTGATTGATTTAAGTGTAGAACTGCATCAATAGTGAACACGTGCGTGTAGACATGAGGTGCATAGACAACGTTGGTGTAGGATGTAAACGGCACTGAATTCTGAGGAGAGAAATCTAAGAGATTTCGTACAGCAGTTGGTTCTACGAAGAATAAATGATGTTGATCGTTGATTCCTAAATTCGGATAAGCACAGTTCGTTCCTGTTGGTGCATTTTTTGGACAATCAGGTAAGTTATCGCGAACACCTGTTATCGCTTGAATCACACGCTTGTAGAATGGATACAAATAATCACTGGAAAATGTATGTTGATTAGAATGAGTACCAGGTTGAGGTTCGTTCATAATCTTCAATCAAAACACAAAAATGAATATCAAGTGACGCGAAGTATCGATCGTACTTCATAACCGAGAACAGCACTGTTATTAACGAATCGTTTTGCGAGCGATGCAATTGCTCCGATGTAGTGATCTTGTAAACCAGGACCAGGTGCATTTCCCTGTGTTATATTTGGTGGAATAGAATTATTGTAAAAGTGATCAAATGCTCGCATCATTGCTAAATTCAGATTTCCAATACCAAGCAATGCCAATGCTGGCCAGTCATCCGTCATTACAGCCCATTGCGGAGCACCATCTTGCCCGTCGGATGCAGTTAAGTAAGGTGGAATTTCATGCTCTCGGTCACCAATGATGTAACGAGAATAGAGATCTTCGTGCATGTCGAGTATTACATACACTTGTTGTTCAGCTGCCCATTCAACAATCTACGTACAAATGACAACTTACATTTTTACTACTTGAGGATACTTAGATAGAATACCTGTTCAACGCGTTGTAAATACATTTCATTATAAGTTCCCGGTGTTGGTTCTAGTGCACTCCAACTTAAACATAATCGAATAACGTTCAAGCTATTACAAATCGAGAAAAGTAAACAATTTTCTCGTCTTCAGGAACAAAAGAGCAAACCCCCATTTTCTGATTTGCGCAAAATCATTATGACTATTCCAGTCGTCACTCATATTATACATTCCTTTGCCATAATCTATCCCGCATGTCGGTGGTTCTTGGTAGACAACTTTGTTCACCGGGCATTGTCCTTTGTACAACAGAGGATCAATAGGTCGATCTTGATCATCTGGAATATTTCTCTGTTCGGTTTCAACATTTACACCGCGTAATATAACGTGCCGTTCGTATTCATCAGCAATATAGCCGTAATGACCTACAAGATTAATTCGAAAATATGCTCTGTAGTAATAAGACAGAAACGAAAACCTTCCGTCAAGTTGGGCTGCACAACATGCAACCACAGCATTGATGACCCACATTTTGTCGAGAGAATAAACAAGAGAAATTTGATTATGAATACTTTTACGAAAATCATACTGTATGACATGTGTAATAAAAATCAGTGAATAAAAGATAACATTTCTTTTCTCTTCTCCTATAAAAATGTCATCTGTCTTTTTTCACATAATATTGTGATTTATTAAAGCTCTGACAGAATGGCAAAGCACGAGAAGGTATACGGGGTGTTTCACATGATGAATATCAATCACTGCTAGCAAGCATCAAGTTAAATATAAGAAGTATGCATAATCGATGCAGCTCAGAGTGTTCGATTGAAATAACTTTTTCTATTTGAAGCAGAAACTGACGATAAAATCTTTCTATACAAATGCGTTGCCTCTATCTGTAACTTTTCCATATTTCAGTAACAATCAACGAGAGATTTTACACGAGAATACGTTCCATCACATGTATAGCAATGATGATGGTACAACTACATCTGAAAAGATCACATCGTACATTTAATGCAGTTTTCCCCAGCAAGCATTCATTTCTTTTATGCTCTACCACGATTTGCAATGATCTAAACCAGAAGATGTTAATATTCCACATTTGTCTATTTTTTGTGTCGATACAAACAACAGTTGCTATCAGTGATTTTCAAGCAATCTGCTCAGCTCCGTTCATTCCTTTCATTTGAGCTTTATCGGTGGTCCAACATATAATGTATTACTCGAATACATTTATATAGACATCTCAAATTTGAAATGATCTCAAGTGATAAGAGTGAAGTCATGATTGTTGATTAATCTATTTACACATGTAGATGCATGAATTTCAAAGAGTGCAGTGCGGTTTCTGGCGAATCTCTTACACAAAATCATTTGATCTGGTATTCCAGAAGGTTTCGGGTGAAGCCTTGAGGGTTTTTTAAATAATGGTTTCATATGGAAATATTTGTAACAAAAAATCTTTCATGTTTTCAGTTTAGAATAGAAGGACGTCTATGTTGCTTAGAAACTCGTATTAAAAACAATACTCTCTAGAGGAAAAATAATATTTGTCGAGAAAACTGAGAAATGAAATATTCTCTCTCTTCACTACAATTTTTTCCTCGTTCTCTGTGTAAAAAATGATAAATGCAATCTATTCTTGCTCAACAAGTTCCTATATAAAAGAGGCAAAAACAACGTCGGAAAAATCCCGACGCGTAAGAATGTTTTTCCCTTTTCATCGTTGTACGCTTTTTATTTCTTTAACGGTATCCACAACATATTTTGGTCTTTTCTTAATGAATATCTGCTGCTTTTCAGCTGACATTTTAGCTAACCGTTGACCTTTCGAAGGCCTATGTACAGCCGCACGAACACGTTTCGTTCTTTTTCCACAAAAGTATCCTACTCCAGCAGCTTTCATCGTCATCTCTTTCACCACGCTGAATAGAAAGTCCATTGGATTTTTATACTTATGTTTGAATTGTTCAACGAGTGGGACTAGAACATAAGCCCTTTCAATTGCAAGTCTACTTACTCAGGCCATTGCGCCATATTGGCATATGTATATGAATAAGTTAGATTTATCTTTTTCAAGATTTTTGTCGAGAACTTATCTCTAGTGAAATCAATCGTACAAAAAAATCGTAAGTAGATCTAAATATTAGTTATTATAACCACAATTCTCAGTGTGATTTTGGTGAATCAAATATTTATTATTTATGTTCCGTATGGTTCTAATGAGCGAACTTTTTAAAAGAAAGTATTATTGAAAATGACTTTTCAATGATTCCTGAAGGAAAAAGAGTTTTCTCATTGCAGACGCGCTACAGAGTTATGTGAAAATGCGAGAGAATAAACGGCATAAAGAACCAATGTTTTTTTTTGTCTTCTTTCAGAATCAGATAACAAACCATACAAAACGTCTTTTGAAATAACTGAATAAAAAGTGAGTATTACCAACAACACTAAATGGAGAATTTCTATAACACAATCTTACCTTACATGCGATGTATAACGAAAAGTGAGAGTCAAGAAGTACCTTTAGTAATTCGTTATACTTTCTAGAGATCCGTAACGATACTCAAACATCGATATTAATATCAGTACTGGTATTGTGTGAAAGCATTCCAAATCTTTAAATCATATTCTACAGAAATATAGGTTTGTTAATATTGACAGTAATCAATCTGATGAAAAACTTAGAATGAATTGAAATTCTTTAATTATGATAATCGATGTTGTGGTAAAGCATTTCTAACGTAAAGATTTAGAACTAACAACTGTTTTGTCCAAATTTTTGTTCTGAGTTAGTATCTCTTATTCCTTACAGGCAAAGTCTTTTCCGATACGAAGCTTTCATATCAAAATTACATCGAATCTCTACTCGCAAGATTAAACCAATCATGATTTTATTTAGTGAAATTTAATGTGAATCTTGACACTTTGCATGTTGAATCAGGAGTGAAAGATGCAGCACAAAGTATTGCAGGTGGAATCACCCATGGTGCCAATAGTCTTAGCGATGGTGCTCGAACGATAGGTTACGGTTTAGGAATCGGCCTAATCGCAGTAGGAGTTGGCATCGCGGCTGGTCATATATGGATGAAACCACCAGTAAACAATTTCTATCGTATGTGTATTACAGTTTCTGGAACGTGAACTCATAATAGACTGATTTATTTTTTAGCTCGAGAGTCATCAGCTGCAAGTGGACAGTTTAGACGAGAGGAAAAGCATACTTCAAAACTCCGTGGCTCGTGTAGTTCCTCAGAACCCGACGAATCTCTAGCCCCGAACTCCATGTGATTCCGCTTTGATAGTGTAAACACTAAACAGTTTTCTTGCGCGTATTTTGATTTTACGGTCAATTGTACATTTATCGTACTAAATAAATTCCTTCGTATTTTTAAACATTATCGAAAAAGCAACGAATAGCAAATTAAAATGAATTGGTAGGGTGCGAATATTGTGCACAGTGTTCTGATTTCTTCATCATTCGACAATCAGCACCATATCTGCACGGTGTTAATTTCGATTTTGTTGTTCCATCAGCTGTTCGAGACTTGTTCTCTGAAGAAAAAAAAAACGCATAAATTCTTTTCTATCGATTCTCTATGAACAAATCTCTTTTACTTTTGACTGAAGGCAATTCCTCGCCATGAAAGAATTTCATTCGATGCTCATTCGACTGTTCTCTGCATGATTCTTGATATCGACATGGATAGAGATAATCAGGTAAATTTGTATGACGATACTTGGCACGGTGTACAGGATCTGTTTTTCTACTACAATCTTTATCGTCCGAACAAAGAGAAGCTTTATGATGCGCATGTGTCAAATGAGGTTCGTTCTCTGGATTTCGACATAATTCATTAAAGCGACATGGATGACTGAATTCAGAGATGTGATCTTTAGCATTTTGCTTTAGACAATAAACTGAGTCTGCACAAGGACGTAGTTTTGATGATGCTCTTTGTGACGACGCTGTTTCGGGTTTTTTCGACGAGCCAAAGATTGCATGTTTTAGCTTTGCGAACAAGGACAGCTTTTCTTTGGGTGATGATTTTGATTCATGTGATGCGGATGACGGTGGCTTTTCTCTTCGTTGATTACGGGCGTTTTTCTTAGGTTCAATGCTGCCACCATCAGCAGCATAATGGCCGTATGGCATGTAACTCGGCGATGCTACTTGAGCTTTCAATAATTCCGAAGTATCAATTTTGAACGTTAGGTCACACAATTTTTCTAATTCTGCTACAGGTTCATGATTTATTGTCAAATTACGAATCGGTACATCTTGGTGACCGCCACTAACATGAATATAATTAATTTTCGTTAGATCTAATTCATGTTTATCAAATTGATAACTGATCTTTGTATGATTATAAATTCCATTAGGACCTACATGTGATAAAGTTACATCACCTGTCTTATGATTTAGTTTTAAGCAAAAAGTTAAAAAATCATCAGTATTACAACCACGATAGAATACATTGGATTTCGCTTTGAATTTACTCATATGAACATTATTATAATGTTGATATGGATGACCAATATTTAAATATGAATATTCTTCATGATAATCATCTCGTGTTGAAGATGGTTTCCCAGCAACATAACAAATCAAACAATATAAACTAGGTTGATCTTTTCCATCAGAATTAATTCTTTCATTACTTATGGTTAACATCATATCGCCATTCATCGCTTGCCAATAGATATAAGTCATCTCAGGATGTTCGGATTTACCGGATTTATCAAGACGATATAAATAGTACGATTGAGAAATAGTGATTGGTATACCAATTAGTTCTTCAAATTTCGTTCCCGGAACTGTAATGACAATGCCACGAGAGATTTGTGGTTCTGCAATTCTGTCTTTGATTTTTTCGATATTTTTGTCCAATATATAATTTAAATATGGTTTACGACTATCATCAGGTTCCGTCATACTAGTTGATTTAGTTATACTAAGGTCAATTGCGTGGTCACTTAAGATTAATGATTGACCAAAAACTGCACGAGCTGAATTTCGAGCTTCAGAACTTAATGTATCAAATAAAGTCTTTGGCATATACACATTATCAATATAATCAAGAGGAATCAATTGTGGCAGATGACTTTCGAAAACAAAATGCGAGTCTAAAGTTTTCCAATTGTGAATAACAGCATCGAGACTGATGCCCATTGATTGTTTCTTTAGACCAGTTACAGCAACAAGTTCAGCGGCTGCCGCATGTTCATAACGTGGAACAGAACAATGTAATTTTCCATGATGAAAATCTTTAATACGTTTGTCGTCACCGCCTGGATCAGCTTTCCATGGACGTTGCTGGTAGATTCTTCCACTAGGAAAACTTGTTCCAGCTTGAACAGTAAAGTTTGAATCTGGATGAAACATAATTTCTTGTTTAAATGTAATGACAATATCACCATAATAAAATCCATGATGTGGTCCTAAAATGCTGAATATGTGATGATCAGTTCCTAACTTTTTATCAACATCAAATCCAATTCCCATTGGACTGGAAGTTAATTTAATTGATGCTTGAGCAATTTTTATCGTCCAATCATGTATAGCCTGAATATCATGATCAGTGAGTGGTGGCTTCAATTTTTTTTCGAATTTGAGCACTTTAGAATCATGATCTGGTTCAGCAGGCGACATGCCGTCTGCTCCTGTTTTACCAAATTCAGCATGAACTAAGATTTTAACTAATTCAGATACATTATGCTTCACTTCAGGAGTATTGTGTTCGAGAAAAATTCGCCGAATACGACTATGTTGTAAAACAGCCTGAACTACATAATGTGGCCTTTTTAACAGTTCCATATAATGACGACTCATAACATGTCCATGAACAAGAATTGATTCGAAGATAAATTTATTGCATCGATGTACAGGTTGCAGTGCTCGTATCCAATTGATTATTTCCGGCGAAATATTTGTTTCTTTCCATCCTGCTTTTTGAATATAAGTGTTGACGGCTCGAATCATCTCGCCTTGATTACGAGGAAAATTGATTGATGAATTGAAGTTACTGCATGGAGCTACACGAAGATGATTATGATTTTGTCCATGTCGATATTTCTTCAAATGGTCATTTTTTAAACGATCACGACATTCATAACCTGCATTTTTACAAAGCAAACGGATGTCTTTTACACCAGGATGAGAATATGATTCCAGATGATGTTCATGCTTCATTTTCATACATAGTTCTCCACCTGCACAGATATGTCTTGCAATGTGAATAAATGTTAAATAATGCTTTTTATCATTCGCTGTACATCGAGAACCATACGGACATACATGACTGAATGTAAGACAATGTCTTTGAACGTCTTCACTCACAGGCTGCCCATCAGCATGTTGTACATATTTGACCATACGAGAACAATGATATGGTGTAAATGGACATGGTGGTCGAAATGTATGAATAGTATTTTCCATATGTTGTTGATCATGGAAGCGAACACAAGTGTTATCATCGGAGCAAATTAATTTGCAATGGCGATAACTTTTGCAATGTTCGGCGTCGCTGTTCAGGTATTTGAGACAAGTCTCCCCGTCTCTGCAGACGGGTAGATGTCGATAAGCAATAAAATGTTCAGATGACTTCTCATGACAATGCAAATGATTTGGACAATAGTCTGGATGTTCATAATCACTCAGATGCTTTGCATCTGTATTAGTACATTGTCCACCATATTTGCACTTGGAATTGTGCAGAAAAGTGAACATATGTACTTCGTCGTTATTCTCCGTGCATGTTGTTCCTTCTTCGAGTAGTGGACACACTGGCGGGTGAGAGAACTTGGCCTTATGACCAGCATCATTGAATTCAGCGCACTTCGATCCATTTTCACATGGTGGCAGATGTAAAATACATACGTCACTTAAAGTTACTTTTCCATCTGAGGATTTGTTTAGAATTCGGTATGGTCCACTGGCTGAATTCACACGCAATGATTTCGGCGGATATACAATATTAAACTTGTTAAAGACTTCTTCAAATGGTAGCAGGTTACCATGAGGATTTAGACTATTTCCTGTATTATGGTCGTCAAGGATGGCAAAGTAGATCGTTTTGAAATATCCAGCATATTGACGAATCATTGATTTGAAAAGTAAAGCGACATGCTCCGGCGGATTTCTAAACGCACCACAGCCAAGCGCTGAAAGTACTAAACAATCATGCTTATGTTGATGAGCAATAGTAAAAACGTTTTCAATCTTCTTCAATGTATTGATAGCGGATCTGTCTTGTAACATATTTTTATCGGTTAGCGGTGGATCACGATATGCAGCCATAGCAATAGCACAAACATCATATAGAGGTTTCTTCAGAAAAGCATATCCGCTCTCTTCGGTTCCACGAAACACGGTTATACCCGATGTATAAATTGCTTCAAATTCTTTCATGGGATAGAGAACATCTTGATCTTTTGCACGTTTGATGTCGCCTTTCGATGATTGATAAAGTCGTTCATATCGTTCTCTGTCAGCAACCTCAAGATCAAGACTCTGATAGTAATCGGAACGACGGAAAATATTCTCTTCCTGTGCTCCATCACCTTTGCGATAACCACCACCGGGAGTTTTCGCGTTGGCCATGTTCAATAGTAGTGGACGACATCCTTCTGATGCTAGTCTTTGGTAAAGAACAAGGCAATCTTCATTAACGACTCGAACAGTGGTCGATGAATACGGTGTCTTAAACTCCGATTCAAGAATCTGCCTTCCATGCGCTATCTTTGATTTACAATCATACCTGATTGTTTGTAAACGCTCTGATTTCAATGAAATTTCTTCACCACCCACAACGTATTTTCTCTTCCGAACCACACCGATCGTATTCAACATTACTGTCACGCGTAATAAATGCCGTTGATGATCGTAAGTTTTTGAGCGTCTTTCTTTTCCTTCAATCTTCCCCATTTGCTCTAACCAACTTTCTTCATTCCATGGTAGATCAAATATGGCATGCTTATAATCAAAGACATATAACATAATATCCGGTTTCATATTGACCATGACTGTCTCGTACCAATTCGTCGCATCAAGTTCATTCGAATTTGAAACGCTCGTCGAAGTATACGGTGTAATGCTCATAGGTTTACCACCAATACCAATGGCGGCATTGTCTATGCATTCTTTATAGACATCGATATTGTCAAGTTCAATGACAAGATGATCGTTAATGTGCTGATGACGAACAACGTGATTTGTGAACATTCTGTGATTTAAAATTAGATTGATATCTATATCACGCGGAACGGGTGAGACAAGAACACGATAGGTAAAATCTTTCTTTTTCGGCAGATTTTGTCCGTTAATGTTTAAATAGTTATCTGCTATCCATTTACTTTCAGATTTGACTGCTATAACAACAGATGAGTTGCTTGATTGGCAATATTGGACATGGAACGACGTGGGTGGGAGGACATTGACTCCAGCTTGAGAGGCCACGGCCGATGCAAGTTTGTCGCTATTGACATTCGGTGGTAAATCTTCGAAAAAACAATATTCCGCATTGGGATAGACTACGGCCGAAATACCATCTTGGGTGGTAAATTCTGGTGAGTTTGCAACTTTAACTAACTCGTCGGGTGTTTCCAAAACAATGTGAAATATATTTGGAAATGGTGCGGCGATTGGCTTGCATTCAGGAGTTACTTGTGTCTTATAGGATTTTTTGAATTGGTGGGCCGCTTCATCAGCGTTTGGAATACTCGAGATATTTTCATCAAATACTACGTAAGAATCGAGTTCGAGTTTATCGACAAACGTTATACTTATGTTGTAGTTTTTGCCGAGAGCTAACGATTGTATGCCGGTGATCAACTTTTCTTTGTCTTGGCTATTCTCCGTTTGTATCATTCCTATGCCCAGTTTTGGATAACAGATCACCTCAACGACTCCAATATTTGCAGTGATATGTAACCGTCTCTTGATTACTTCTTTTAATTCATCTTCTGAGAAGCGAGTTGGCAAATCCGGAATATAAACTATTGGAGTTTGGGCAGAAAAAATTGTTGACTGCATCGAGTGTTATCTTCGTACGTCTTTTTTCTCTTCGAAACAAAGTCAAATAATACTTTTTTTACAATGACGGTAAAAATATACGTATGGTTGGAAGTTTTATACTGCTGATAACTCATCGGCGAAAACATGTTTTATCTTTTGCAAACAAGACGACGTTCTTCCTTTGTTTCGAACGTGAATGCGCTCATACCATCACCTAGCGCCATCTTTTCTTCGATGGAAATGTCAAAAGCTATTTGAAGAATTCATAAATGGAAAATCATGTTTCCATGTATTTAAGTTGTAATACTACGAGTTGACAACGAATAACTTACAATGGAATTAGTTGTTCTCCTCGTATTCGCAAATTATTTTCTAGTTTTTACGGAAAAAATAATCTTTATAGAGACACGCATTGACTGCTATTGTTGTTCAAGAATCTTTTTTTTCTCTGTTGCATAAACACACACAACTAATTGATCAACAATCGAAATACTTTTTTTTTAGTCATAAGATCTCATCGAGAGAAAAGGACAAAAATCTGTCGCAGCAGTGAATTTCTCTCATGCTATAAATATCTCTAGTAATATGTATTTTTTTTTCTTGTTCTGCTCAATGTCTTCTCGTATTTCTCTCTAATTCCATTATCACATAGAACAGCGAAAAGACCTTCAGACGAATAAACAAACAAGTTATTACTGGAATACAGTTCGACGATCGAAACATATGTTGCTTGTTATTTTAATATATTTCTAGATGAATTTCTAAATAATACTCGCTAGATCACAAAACAAATGAATGTAAGTCGATTTTCTTACGAAAATAAGACTTCAACGATGTTTCTGTTTTAGTATCAACAGAGTGCCTTCGAAGATTTTCTCGCTCGATTGTTCAAAAAGTCGCTCGAAGGTTTAAATTCGAGTGTGAACGAAATTAACCGTTGCCGAAGGTTTTCTTGGCATTATTCGTCATTTCACGACATACAAAATTTGAAATCCAATCTTAGTTTTATTCAAGAACAGTATGATTCATATATGACAAAACTTTCCACTGAAGTCAAAGAGTATCGGAAGAAAATTCAGGGAGAAAATCAACAGGAATTATTCGAACAAATCGATCATTTATTCAATAAAACATCCGAACAACTTCTTCTGTCGACAATTTTCTCCGCGATCGGTTTATTCAATTCTGTCGATTCCATCATTGCTCTTTTCACTGGCATTGGTACCGATGTTCTTGGCATCGCGCCAATTCGTATGGGCTTCGTCATACACAACACTGCCAGTGAGATGATGTTCAAAGATAAATTGAATGAATTAGAAGGCAAACTAACGTATATCATCCGGAATATCGAAATCAAGAAAACTCAACAGCTAGATCATTTAAATCTCTATTTTAATCGTTTCCAAAAACAAATGTCTCAATAATTCACACCTACGTATATAGATATTGTATTTTTTAGTTTTTATTAGCTTTTATTCTGTAGTCATGCTCTTCATCATGTGTTGTAAATATTATGAACCTGAAATAAAATACATGTTGCTTTTTTTATTTCAGCACAAGGTTTCTTCGTGAAATATTGAGCGTGTCAAACACATCTGTCAGCACGATGATAGTCGACTGACATGTTTGATTAATAACAAAATGTTGATTTGCCTATCTGTGTCCTTTGACTTTCATTTTTTATGACATAGTTTAGATTGTGTATAGACTTGCTGAGATGAGAATGCAAATTATCGTTTGGATTGGCTTCACACAGTTCATTCGAAATGTTGATTCAGTTTGGTGTATTAATGCGCAGAAACAATTGTCAGTGTCGGGGAAACATTTGGTATCAGAGTTTAAAAAGCGTTTGAGCAATCACGATATCTATGAAACAGCAATGTGCAGAATTGAGATGACGTATTCTCGCACAAAGAAAGATCAAAGTCTTCATGTTACTTTTGGTACGAGTGATCCACCGGTAGAATTACAAACAAACGTTCATGTACGTGTTAACACATCGATAATATTCAAAACTAAGGGAAAAGGCAATGACGTAGTGAATAGAATTCATTTTACATGTGATAGTAAAGATGTATGTGATCGGAAATTTTTCTCTGGTCATGCCGATTGGCTGGTGAATAATCAATTCACAAAATTAATCGATGCACTTCGACCATTACTTCAATCGAAAAAAAAATCAAGTATTAAAATATTTTGCTTACAATTTTCTCCATAGATTTCGTTTAGGTCAGTGTATTGTTGATAATGGGATTAATATAACAATATCGACATGCCACTCGTGTGTCTGGAATTCCTTCTCGTCAACTAATCGACGTAATCAATCGAACTGCTACCAGGGCGAATACCATCGATCAGAACTTTCCATGATTACTGATATAATCTTATCCGATATTTATCAACACGGAGAAAAGAACAATATCACTGAAATCAATCAGACTCGACAGTATTGGTGTACATCGCATTGGTGTACGAATCAATCGAATGTTCAAAAAATCAATGATATTATCGACAAGCAATATAACTGGCCACCTTTCTATGAAGCTCTTCAAACCGATTCGGAAACGACGACAACAAAAAGTACATCGAAAACGAGTTTGGCTAGTAGTTCTGTTAAGAATAGTACCGGTGATATTGAAATGTATTGGAATGGGTCAGGTTTATTTTATGTAAAGACATATTGGATACAAGGAACGCTTATCTCGATTACTCTCCTTCACTTTTTGTGAATATTTTCAACATGCGTCCGTTTTAAAAAACGTTATCATATCAGTAAGACCATAGAGACTTGCGTGATTGAATGAAAGAACATTATCTTGCAGAGCGCTTTTAAACCAAGTGTTCCAGTCATGGAGAGAACTCATAGCCTTCTGTGCACCTTCTTCATTCGCGAAATAGCCAAGACTCACATGTGGAGTATACGTTTTCGAATCCGTGAATAAATTGAAACGCTCATGAAACTGTGTATTCAATCGAGTACGCTCTTCTACAAATTGCTCGAAGATGGTGAGTGAATCATCATCAGGACGTAAAACAACAGCAAGTACTGAACTGTTCCATATATCAAGATGATCGAAACGGAAATTGATATTCCAATCCTGTTTCGTGCAGAGCGATGACATCAGAGGTAATTGAAGAATGTCGTCAGATGTGTTGCACGTCGATTGCGGCAAATCGGATAACCATTTTTCAGCCATTGGTCGATATTGTGGATCGATGTTTACTATATTTTTACAATTTAAACCACTCCAAACAGTCACATGATACGTAGTTGATGGAAGAGCACAAAAAAGAAATTGATTGAGCAGTGCATTCACATTCAAACGTGCCATTCCTTCATCAAGAATCGTGTAAAAGTGTAGAGCAGAATCCTCGTGAACTTTGTTATGAAGTTCGAAGAGTTTGGACGAGCGTGGCTTTAAGTAGTTTTCTCCGGGATTATCGAAAAGAATGGAAAAACCAGGAAAAGATGCCCATCGAACTTCAAAACCTGCAATTTTTCGATTACTAACGCGCAGCATGATAACTGTAAAAGTGAATGTTCTTTTTTTTCTTATCGTCTTCGATTGACGTCGTTTATTGTGTTATCACAATATTTGAAGAAAAAGATAAAATCCATACATGACAAATAACCTTTGTACCTGGTAGTTGATACGAAAAAGCGACGTATTGAGTGTATTGAAAAAGAGAACCTCAATTACGATACGATGGATAATTGTTCAACTTGTTCTATAGAAATTTCAAGTAATAATCTTGCTTTGTTGTGTAATAGAAAACGAATATGGATCATGTTTGTTTGATCGTCATGTATTGTACTATTCTTTGGATAGATAATTGTCTATTTTTTATTTGACTCAGAAAATACGGGATCAGTTTTGTCATAAAAGATGAGTATTAAAAGAGAGAATTTCGATTAGTAATAAGAATGCATCAATTCACTAACTGAATGGGTTCAACGAGATGAAAGATTAGGGGAATAATTTCATTTCAAGTCCGACTAAGATGGATAAAATAAAATCTATGAAGAATTATGGAATGTAATTAATTATTCTGATTTGAAACCATCATTTTGAGATGATTCTACGATTAATTCTGTCTTATTGTCACAGTGGTGAATAGGCCTATCGAACGAGCGATCTTCAATCATTCATGTATAGTTTGCTTATTCTACTGTATTGGTTGAAATTAGTGATTGACTCAATTGTTTCGCACTAATGAGTTATTTAACGGTGGCCCATTGTCTTCACGGACGACGATAAGATGCGATGAATATATTCATTAATCGATATCAATAGGAAACTTGATAATCTGACAAGGGATTGGTTCATACTCGATCAATTCTGTGAAAATATTCTACCTTGAATTCATCAGAATATTGATTGTCTCACTCTCGAATCATCATCAATACGTCGCACTTTCAACGAGCAAATTTTGCATCTTGTCGTAACACTGATAGACAAGAGTGAAAGTGCACCATTAACTGAGGTAGTCAAGAATTGGTATATGTGCATTTTGAATCTATTCGAAAGCGTTGCTCATTTGAACTTCGTTATAAAAATGATTTTCGATATTTGCCATTTTCATTTGAAGATTTACCTTTGACTGCATTTGTGCATCAGAGTGTTGCATTGCTTTCATCTACTAGATGACCGTCGGAATCTATTCTTTCGTCAATACTTGTATATTGACGTTCGTTGCACGAAAAGAAGTTTTTTTCGAAGAGAAGAATCAGCTACACCGATTGAAAGATTAACATTTGTCGCAGATTCTCATATGAATTACAAACAACGAATCGATGTTTTATTGATTTTCACAATGACATTTCATTTCTAATGAGAAAGCTTTGCCAAAACTCAAGTGCTTTCCTCATTGATTTCTTACCAACGTACATACGAATACGATAGTCGTGTCATATCAGAATTACATCACACGTCTGTATTAGAAAAACTCGCACTATCGTTGTCCACTGAAAATCGAACAGCTTTCATCGATGGTAATCACTTGAGTGACGAGTTTCGAAGTCGAATGCCAACGACTGCTACATTCATTTCTTCAGGAAACATCTTTTGATTGCTATGTCGATGTCATATCTATTCGCTTCCATTATGCTTTAATGTCTACATGTGTGTATTTTATTTGTTGTCGATATAATGGATTTGTTCGAACGAATCACTCGTTCATTTCCATCACTCGGCAAATCAAATATGTTCAGCCAAGAAGAACACAAGCAATCGCGGTCGTGTTTGCATAACGAGCAAATATATCCATGTATTGGATCTTCGTGTTCAATATGGACACTTAATATCTGTGACAAAAAAACTTTTGCAAATGATGATACGTGATTCAATAGCGGTAAAGTGAAGCGTGTTCTAACCGAAAGCAATAATGATGGATTCGAAAGACTTTTTGCTCTGTTTTCCTTCGTTGTTAAGAAAGATTTTTTACGTAGGTAATTTCTCTTGCGCATAATTGTGCTGGCTATTTAGTATTGATTAGATGGTTTGTTCTCGTTTGATAATAGACATAACTCATTACATTTCATTCTTTTATCAGGCTTCAAAGAGACGGAACTGATTAATACAATTCGCATTATTATGAAAGAAAATTAATCTGCTATTAAGCTTTTCCTGTCATCAATGTCTTAGAGATTTTCTGATTCATTCCTAAATTTACTGCATTTTGAGAAAAGGGTCAGATTCTATGTGCACCTAGGGATAACCAAGGTGAAAGATCTGAAATCTGAGGTTTATTTTTTCGTGAATCTTTATTTGTAGCGGATTTTGGTCCTTATCTTTTCGGAAGCTCAATTTTCTAATGAATTTCTACACATATTGCATAAATTTCCGTTTGACTAGAAAACGATTCAAGCAATGTATTCGTCTAACTTATCATCCTCAAGATGAAACCGTTGTTATCGGAAGTATTTCAAAAAATCGTTTATTATGATTAATGTTTGCACGTGTAGATTATACAGATTCTTTCAGTCAATCGGTAGTGTTTTGCTTGTAGGTATTATTAAATTCAAAAAGAACGCAAGAAAGAAAAAGCAAATGGCTTTCATCTGTGTTCTATTGATTTTGGAGGACGAACAAATACATACTGTATTGATAAAATAGCTGCACTTCATCGCCGTACACTTTCCATGCTGACAAACAATAACAAGAAATCAACGTGTTGAAGAAAAAGAAAAAAAACTCGATTTTGACGCAATGGGCAATTGTCCAACGTGTTCTGTTGAAACTTCAAATATCAATCTCGATCCTCTATGCAATGGACAACGAGTGTGGCCCCTCTTTCTATTCTCATCGTGTGTTGTGCTATGCAGTGGATGGATGACTATATTCATCTTTGATTTGGTCAAGAAAGTGTGCGATATATGTCGCCGTAAGGGACTATCGTCCAAAATTGAATCTCGAAAACGGCGAGTTGTGGATGATGATGATATGTCTATACAAGAATCGAACTGGTTGAATGATATGAAAGATTGGGGAAACAGTTTTATTTCAGGACAAACCAAAATGGGCAAAACATTCGTTCGTTGATTAAAGATGTTATTTTTATCACTTATTTGTTTCTTTCTTAGGTTATAATCATCTTTTTTTGTAATATTGCTTCGCTGGTTTTATACTGTATGGATACGAAGAGAAATTCGTAAATTATGACAGCAGCTGTTTGGCCTGAATGATTTCAATTTTATATTTAGATATGTGGAATCATGTACCAACTTTTCCCAATCACTTAGCATGAAAATCGATCTTGGTCTTAATTCCGTGTTTCTCATTCATTTCATACTTCGAGTATAGGAAATCTTTTCCCGATATTTCTGTTATTTTCTATTTGTTAGCTTGCTGCTGCACCGGATAAACGGCGATGTTGGTTTAGTTTACATTCTCTTGTCGATATTTTTACTATTCCACCCTCATTCATGACCGTCTATCTCGATCGAAGTTGGATAGGTCTACGGTTTTTACGTGTTGTTCCATTGAAAGATATTCCCAATTTATTACAATATATGCATGTTATTGAACGACCGCGAACCATTCGAATTGTTCAGTTAGCATCGAAGTTCACTGCGATTTTATTCGCAACTGCGGGTGCGGTTCATCTCGCTGAAAATTCCGGCGATTTCTTTTGTAACTTTTGTAACGCACAAGAGATTAGCATCTTCAATGCTCTGTACTATATGATAATCACCATGACCACTGTAGGAAAAGGATTATTGGAAAAATTAGTATAGATTTCTTATCACTCTTTTAGGTAGGATATGGAGACATCTCTTGCAAGACATATCTTGGTAAAACGTTTGTGTTGTTGACTCTTATCGGTGGATTGGCAAGTGTTAATGTTACCCGAGATGAAAATCATCATTGATGTTTATGAATTTAGGCGGTATTTACTACAATGATTCCAGAATTTGCAAATTTGTTCAGTTCGAAACATCCTTATACCGGTCGGTATTTGCGAGTTAAGGGAAAACGTCATGTGATCATATGTGGACATATCACACCTTATTCTTTGGCACCATTTCTTCGAGATTTTCTACATCAAGGCCGTGACGAAGTTGACGATCTCGATGTAATCATTATGGATATGTATGCTCTTACGATTAAGCTACTAACTCGTCAATCTCCTTATCTTTTATTCGAAGGAAAACGCCTGATCTCGAAATGGAAGCTTTACTTAAACGATACTATACAAAATTACATTATTTCATCGGAAGTATTATGAATGTTACCGATTTACAACGTATACAAGTAAATTTTGTCATACATAAATATGAATCAGATTCATTCACTGATTTGAAGGTTGATAAAGCAGCGGCCTGTTTGATTATTGTTAACAAAGAATGTGCAGATCCAAATAGTGATGATTCCGCAAATATCATGAGAGTAATTAGTTTGAAGAATTTTAACCATCGCATTCGTATTCTATTACAACTACTTCGTTATATTAACAAAGTATGAACGAATGCACATAGTACATATGGTTTCTTTGATCCGATTTTTCTCGTCATAGTTAAATGTTGTTTCCATTCCGGGCTGGAGTGTGTATAACGATGAAATTATCTGTATCTCTGAATTGAAACTTGGCCTGATTGGTATGTCTTGCGTGGCTCCTGGATTTGCTACAATGGTATTCATCCATATTTGACTCATTTAGTATGCAGTTTGAGTTTTCTAGATGACAAATATCTTTCGAATGTCTTCGTACAACATACGAACACGCGAACAAAAGGTATCAAAAGGGTGATGTATCATTAATAATTTCAAATCTTCTGCCTATATGAACATAGACACAAGGATGGCCATGGCGTGACTTATATTATCGAGGTGCTGGCATGAAACTATATCTAGAAGAGATGCCGCCCTCTTTCCATGGAAGATCGTTTGCGGAAAGTGTTTTGTATGTATCGGCGATTCGCCAATAATAAAAATCGAATGTGATGCTGTAGGATTTGCTTTCATTTACGTGTGATGCTTCTTGCCGTGGAAATGGAACGAACTGATGAGAACGGCAATACACGAATGGTTGTTGGACTCATACCATGCGATGATTGTGTTATTCGGCGTGGAAGTCGAGCATTTCTTGTTTGTTTGTCAAACGAAGAAGCGAACAGAGTGAAATACTACTGTTCGATTTGTTATCCCAAACTTGATGATCTAACTGATGATCAGCTACAGCGTATGCGCAAATGTGTTCACAGTGAGTCAGCCATTTAGTGGAAATTTTGATAATTCTCAAAAGTGTGTCCAGTGAGGGAAATCAATAAAGAACAAGATCCTGAAATATCTGTTGTCGGTGAATCGTATAGTTGTCGTACAAATGATCATTCAGTTGTGTAAGTAATTGGATAGATATCGAACTGTTTAGTATTCCTCTTTTTAGTGAAATAACGGATGCTGAATTATCTCGACCTCTTATTGAACACATTCAAAAACCATGTCGAAATTGTTGCAAGAAGTAAGTTATGACTTGCCGACGAAGACGTTGTTTTCATTCGCTTTTACATAGGTTACCGAAAGAGGATGTATCCAGTTTCGATTCTACTGGAATGTTCTACTACACGTCACCTCGAAGTCTTGACGATGCTACTCTTGTATGCGTGCTCGAACAGATAAATATAAAGATTAATTGTTTTATTTGACGATAGAGTACAGACGCACTTCGAATGTATCGCACAACGGATCGTGAAGGAAGTTCGCCACCTAAGCATCCGCTTTGTTTTCGAGATCGTCAGTATGCAGCTTTGGAATCTTCAGATCAGAGTTGTTTTTATCGTAGATATCATCGTTTGCCTCCATGCTGATCAATCATCTGCAGGCATCGGTCTTCGAAATTTCGTTTTACCTCTTCGAGCAAGTTCATTCCAGCGAGATGAATTACCAACAATCATCTTTGTTACTAATCGATCGTATATTGAAAGCGAATGGGATACACTGTCAACGTTTCCAGATATCTATATTCTCGATGTAAGATACACCGATACAGTGTGGTAGGTATCACTCTATTGCTTTGCAATTATAGGGTTCACCGAACAATCCGTACAATTTGAAACTAATTTCGATTCATGATTGTCGACAATGCGTTATCATCTCAACTTTAGATCGGGGAAATCTAGATACATATTTAGTAGATAAATCTTCGATATTATGTGCTCTTACTATCCGACAGATTCAATTGAAGAAGGTTGGACTTCTCTCGCAGCATAGTCTATTGGGAATGAACAAACTGAGTCAACATAAAACAGGCTCCAAACTCCTGCGTCAAAACTGGATCCATACTCTGACAACACTCAGTAATTCAACCTAATCACCTCACCATTTCTATAAGAATATACCTTTCTCTCATCGTAGCAATCGATTCCAATGTACAATATGTTGAACAAGGTCATACAGACGAGGTTAATCTTCAGTTCTTTTTAACTACACCATTTGCATCAGGTACTAACTCCGTGACTTCAGGATAACCTAATCCATTATTTTGTATAAAATAGGTACAGCATTTGCTGATAGTGTCTTGGATTGTATGTTGAGCTGTGTAAGTATAGTGTATGACAATATTCAATGGACTTTGAGATTCATATATGTGTAGGCTTATTACAATGTGAATAGTGTGAATCTCCTGCGAAATGTTCTTGCTGGTGGTATTGATCTGCAATTGGAAGATATCTTAGCGGAGGGAAAACTGTTCACATCATGTGAATCGACACACGTATTGGGAAAACGCAAACGAGCACGAATATCGTTGGTAGCAATTCGTCAATTAATTGCGGACATCGACACAAACGTATGAACTTTCAGTTTCAAAACAATAGCGTACATGCTAGTTTATATTTAGACAGAAACAATAACATTTAGTTCAATGTTTTGTCATTCGCTTCGTCATCATCGTGTCGTAGTCATGGGTATTTATCGTCTGTTGGATGTTTTACTTCAAAATGATCCGACCTGGAAAGGTGACCGATCAATCAATGAGCAAAAACGTATCGTTATCTACTTCCCACCTTATAATTACGAAATGGATCGAACTGATATGGTACGTTTTTCCGCGCATACAGAAAGTGAATTCATGTCCCATTTATTTCTTTTAGGTTTACATCATGTGTCATTCGCATATTGAAAATGACTAGTTTTACGAATTTCTATTTTGTTTTTTTCAAAATAAATGCGTGTCATTGATGATATCGATAAAACGCTGAGTCTGATAAAGACAACAGCAACACGTGTGTGTATATGAGATATTTGCACAGAGTGAAGTTAAAAAGAGAGTATGGCAGTGCTTTTGAGTATACCAAATAAAAACGTGCATCTTGAATTGATTCAACCTGAGCATATAGATCAGTTATACGAATTACTTGAATCAAATCGAGACTATCTTCAGCGAAATATTCCTGGTATCGATGGGATTCGAACACGAGAAGATCTTCAGAAACGCTGGACAGTATCAAAAGAAAATTCATTACAGTTCGGACTATGGCTCAACGAAAATCAACTGATCGGTCGATGTCGTCTGACGCGAAATCCTGAAACAGGCTGTGCTGATGTTGGCTATTGGTTAGGTGAATCATTTCAAGGTCAAGGATTAATGACAGCTGCAGTCGAAGCATTAACAAAGTTCGCATTCGAACAATGGAACGTGAATCGAGTGGAAATCCATTGCGGCGATAGCAATTTAAGATCTCGAGGCATTCCTGAAAGGCTTGGATTTTGTAATGAAGGTATCTCATCGAAATATCCGCCTATTGAACTAAACGGCCGATTAGTCCAGTCAATCGTTTATTCAAAGGTTCAATCAGTGTAAAGAAATGATCGTATATGTTATGTAAAGTCAATTACTTTGCGACCAGTATAGCGAGAATGCTCCATGTCATTAAGAACCTCATTGATTTCCTCTAGTCGACACATTTGTACTGGACATTCGATATGATATTTTTGTGCCATGTCGAGCGTTTCTTTCAGGTCATTTCGTGTACCGACTAATGATCCTACAATTTCTAATTGTTTTCCAATACATTCACCTATTGAAATCGAAAGTTTCGTCGACGGAAGAGCAATCATGACAAGACGACCGCCTTGTCGCAATGATGAGAGTGCTTGCTCATAGACAGATATGATAGGAACACTAACAATTGCTGCTTGAACACCTCCATTCGTCTTCTCTTTTACGAACGCACTGTGTTGATCGCTAGGTCCATCATAAACTAAAACCGATGCGAACTACAAATTATAAACTATCGAAATAATGTTACCTTCGTCAGCACCCATTTCACGAGCTAGCTTAGCGGCTGCCTAAAAGCACGTCTCATAGCAGAATTCACAACTGGCAAGGTACATACGTGATCGTTCTCCGCGACAATTCCGACGACACGAAAACCCATTAATTTGGCAAACTTAATACCAATAGAGCCTAGAAACAATTTTTACTGTCGACTTTAAACATATCAGAAAGAAATTTCTACCTAAACCACCCACACCCACAATCGAAACCCAGTCATTAGTTCGCGCATGTGAAACCTTCAATGCCTTGTGCATAGTAACACCTGCACAGTAGAGCGGTGCTGATTTGAACGGATCTAATCCATGTGGTAACTTCGCAGCAAACTCGACGTTCATTAAACCATACTCGGCAAAAGAACCGTGCTAAAGTAGTCAGATGTGTCAGCTGTTAAACATATAGAAAGAAAGATAATCTACCTTGTGGATTCCGCTGCTGGTTCTTGACATACATAAAGTCTCACGGCCGGCAAGGCAAAATTCACATTCAAGACAACTTCCTTGAATCAATTGAATACCGATCAAATCGCCTAGTTTCAGATTGTATTTTTCTGGGCAAACATCTCTACCAAACTCGACTATGCTACCCACACCTTCGTGTCCCAAAATAAGCGGAAGAGTAGATTTGATTCCCCATTCTATTATTGTAATTGAATAGAAGTATCATCAAAAGGTGCATAGAAATTCGTCTTCTCTATACCTCCACGAGCTTCATGAAGATCACTGTGGCATATGCCACTTGCAACCATTTTAACAAGAATATCATTCGGCCCTGGTCGAGGTATTGGCATTTCTTGAATTTGCAATGGTTTTCCCCATTCAGTGATAACGGCTGCCTTCATCATTTTATTCGTTATCATCAAGACGCGCAAGCAGCAATATACGATTTACACCTATACCACTTTCTAATCGAAGAAATATAGAACAGAATGAGAAAAAAAAAGAACGATAACATATGAGTTCCGCCCAATAGATAAGATGCTGTTACCATGTCGTTCGATCGGACATTTATTCCTCATAAATTTTACAATCTAAAACAATTGTCTTCGTCGTCGATAGCGACGACGGTATAGTATGATTGCAACAAGAACGATTAGAAAAAGTAAGCATTGATAAAACCTGAAAGGCGAATATTTTCTGAACGAATGATAAATGAACAAAATTGCGCGAGCGTCTCGTCCATGCCATGAATTACCTGGCGTATGCCACGTGTACAACGATGAGTACACAGTTTCATCAAGAATACGCACCGCTGATGGTTCGATTGACTTATCAAAATAAAATTCGTTGACTGAAAGATACAATGGACCCGTTGTCAACATCACTGTTAGATAATCCACGAGATAATTATGATTGAAAAGTGAGAGATGTGAAACGAGAGTTTTGAATAAAGGATGACCTTTCGTTGCTATCATGAAACCATTGGAAATACCGACCGGACTTGTCCGAGGGAAAGCAGCGAGATGAGCCGATTGTGCATCAACCATTTCTAGCACATTAAGTAGAGTATCGAACGGTTGGATACATCCATTATCCATATCGATATAGATTCCGCCGAGACGATGCAAAACAATATAACGGAAAGCATCGATGCGTTGGATATCGAGTGGATACTTGAGAAAAGTGTGGTTATAAAGATATGGTTCTTCTTGCCGAACGAATGCATGTATGTCTTCATCCGTCCACAGACGATATTCGAAGTGAGGTGCGTTTAACGTGCGTACTGTTCGAACTGTCTCTTTCCAATGTTTTGGCACTTGCTTGGTTTTCCACGTTTGATGAATAATGCGAGGAATTCGATGAGGAGAAGTTGTATTTACTTGAATTTTCCTGATGAATGTCGTAATGTCGAACGCAGTGAGTAAAACGCGTGACGAACGACGACGCAACAAAACCATATAAATAATACAAATTACCATTGATCCACAGAGGATCCTAAAGAAATATCTCCGTCTTTGCATCAATCAAAAGAACTAAATTGGACTACACTCATGCGTGATATTCGTCGGTTTGGACTATAAGTAAACTATATCCGCACGTCGAAATCGCAACGCAAAAGAATATCTCCATACGTTGATGCGTATAACTTTGAAGAACGGAGAAAAATCGTTTGTTAACAATGCAAATACACGTTTTGATATCGTGACGGCGCTCGTTAAATGACTAGATATTTTTATTTGATAGTGGATCAAATTTTCATCTTTTTGTCACACGTTACCGTGTAAGAAAAATCCGACGTAAAAGAAACATTGCGCAGCGGAGAGAACAAATCGCTGGTGCTTTCAGGAGATTTGAAAAAAATTTTTCTTGAGAGCCTTGTCTTTTATTCCGATTCAATATTCTTCCGGTTTTCTGTAGTATTTAATGATAAGATAAGATATAATAATGCAAGACAACAAGAAAAAGAAAGAGTAAAACGATGCACGACATGACGAGCACTATACGTTACTATAGAAGCAACTGAAATATTTTATTAAGGTTTTGTATGTTTTATGACTGATCCTTCAACTGTTTGATTCATGTAAATCTATATTGTAAAAGACCGAAAACAAGAATTATCTTTCATCTAGAAATAGATCGGCGATCGACATACTCGATTTAATGCTTCCAATAATTTATCCATTTTATCAGGAAATCGTTCAATCGGGTCATAATACTCTTCACGCATTCGTGCGTCTCTTTCACTATATATATCTTCTTCGGTTACCGTTCTCAAACCTAAACATGCGATAGTACTCTTGTTATCGATCGGTTCTGTGATTCTTACCTGCCCATCGTTGAAATGTTTCGAACATAAAGTCAAACATTCCATTCGTTTTCCCGTTCAGATTCGCTCGCACACGACGAAAATTGTCGCCAATAATTGACAAAAACATACTCAGACAGATGAATACGACGAATATAACAAATAAACTGAAGCAAAACGGACCGAGAAATGCGGCTGCTCCACTCAACTGATATGCGTCGAACTTCATCAAGGTCATTTCGAACAACATTTGTGCTGTTCCCAATAAACTCGAGCATTCCGGTAATTTTGCTATGAACAACAGATAAAATAAGCAAACGAATGACATGAACACAACGGCGAACATAAACGAAAATGATAATAGCTCTTTGGCCGAATATTGAAGGGTATGAATGAATAAACAAAGACGCTGATTATATCGACATAGTTTTATCAACTGAACTGTTCCAAAAAAGCAACAAAAGCTCAGTAGATTTGATAGAACGTCGTTGATATACGATGCAAATTGTAGATTAATATAAACATAACCATTGGTTTTCGAGAATAATTCACCGATGCGTTGACTTTCTTTGCATCGCCAAATGTAAATGCCAACACTTGTCCATGAACAAGTGATGATGCCAACTTGAACATAAGACCAAAATCGATGGAAATATTTTAATCTCAATTCAAATAGCAAACGAATTTCGATCCACATGAAGTAGCAAATCAATAGCATGTAAACAATAGTACATACTAATTGATAAGCTGATGTGAATGCTAAGAGGGAAAAAAACAAGAATTACTTTCTAAACTGTTAAGAGACATCGTTACCATATAAATTAATCGGTTCGAAACGAGAACTCGTTAACACTCCACTTGATGAAAAAAACTCAGCGAGAACAGTGACAGCTGTGAATAACTGAACATTCGGGTTGTACAAAGTCAATTGAATGATCACCGCTCGAGTCTGATCATCGATCCATCCAAGTTGATGAAGTTGAGAAAGATTACTCTGTAGATCACTCGATCGACCACGATATTCATACACATAACCACCACTTGCATAACTTGCATAATCTCCAACATACACATATGTGTCCAACTCATCACCGGATTGATAGGTAAACGCTTTTTGGATGAAAGCATTGTACACTTGTGTTGTTTGATTTGTCCATCCGGGTGCGTAAGAACGTTTGTCTTCTTGTGAGAAACTGTAATCATATTCACAGGTAGAATAAATAGGGTGTTGCATTTGACATGACGCTGCTTTCACTCGCAACTGTCTCATCGTCGCCCATCCGATCAGTCGATTCGATTTATCATCAATATAACCAGTGAGATTCCGGGGTGGATCACCATTGTACCATTCTTGTGCACGAAGTTGATTAACAAAACTGTTCTCTAACCAGCTCCAGTATTGATCAATCGTTGAAATCTAAATCAAATCGTGTTCGACAATTGAAAGACGCTCAGAAGGACAACGAACTTTAGTGTAATCGAAATTCGATTGTCTTGTGTTGAGAAAATACTTTCGTAAATGATCTACTTGCTGAAATGCATTCACATCACGATTAGAATAAATGACCACGTAGAGAAATGATATAAAACATAAATATAACACAACTTCCCGAATGATGGCCCACATTTGCATGTGTTTCAGACGTTGATGACGAAGGTAAACGATCTCTTCTTCATTTAAACGATGAGCACGACTTGCAGATCGGAGAGTGAATAGAGATTTCTTCTAGAATAACATGTAATGCTATCAAAGTATATGAACTAATCGAAAGAGAAACCTTTGTTGAATGCAGATATTCTTCGTCGGGTTTCAGTTCGGCGTAATCATCATCTAGCAATTCGTTTACTTCTTGATCATCGTTTGACTTTCGACAAAAGCAAGCAAAAACAATGGCTAATGATACAATCTGCAACAGAGATAGGTTTTACTTTGAGAATCGAGAAAAAATCAAGCGTACTTTTAATGGCTGAGTGAGTAGAAGCGACGAGAAGAAACCACTGAGAATGGACGTTAGCCATTTCTGTGTTTTTTCATCACCAAATTCAATACCGCGAGCAATAATAAACAGAATCGACACGCCAATCAACAAGATACATAAACCATACGCAATAAATATGCACCACCATGGAAACATCAATGTTCCCTTCCTGTTCTTCTTCGGACAATCGACACTGTTTTCAATGTTTTCATTAGCTTTAGATAGAGCTTGACGTAATGGAGATTGTTGCTGTTGACGGGGCCGAGTACGTCGGAATAGTTGCACGAGTAACAAACTTGGAATCAATCCAAAAAGTTCAACAATCATGCCAATAATGATCTTCGAATATAATTAGAATTACGTAGAAATCAATAAGTCAAGAAATTCGTTACATACTTGTTGTGGTGTTATATAAAGCGAACCAAATGATAGACTAGGTCTGCCAGTTGATTTGGCTTCATTTGTCAAGTCATAGTACATGATATTGAGAAACATTGAAACAAACAACAGAACAAAACAACATGTGCATCGTTGAACACGAGTAAATTGAGTGGATGGTGGACGCGAAAAGATCGAAAGCCAAAGA